ATAATAAGATACTAGATCTAATCATTTTGGAGCAACGTTATTGTAAAAAGAAATAGCAACTGTATAGCTGCTGCAACTGCTTCTGTAGCCTCGGACACTGGCAGACACAGTGCAGACTGAACTAACAGTAAACAGTTCCACCACATTTATTGGCAATTACTGCTGAAGGTCACACATCAGCAACAAGCACGAATTCCAGGAAAAAAAGCTGCTCTTATGTAACTGCTGCTTGAATGTTGGCAGGTGCCCAATGGAGCAGTTCACCGCAATATGGGAGGAAAGAAAAAAAAAAAAAAAAAAGTAGGACATCTCTCCGTTACATTCAGCATCATCAGATCGCCCCCTTAAGGTGAAGTTTAACAGTTCTCTCCTCTTTAATGCTCTTCTCCTTCCATACATATTAATTTGTTCTGGGATTTATAAATCCCTTACCCAGCATCTCACTACTTTCATTGCAGCTCTTATCTTCACATAGCAAGGCAGGTTGCTTTGTCTCTAGCACCTGTTAAAATCCAGTGACAGACTGCAATAGGGGTTTGAAATTAAACAGCTTCTGAAAGCACTTTGCCAATACATTAATGCTCCTTAATCACAGTGAACCCAAAATTCAAGTATTCACCCAGACCTACATTTTCAGCGTAGCAGCTCTGATCATGTATGGTACCTGGACTACAATGAGAGCGGGGGAGGAATTTAGCTTAAAAAACCCAAACTATTTCATACTTTTTTCACTGAACTACTGCAGTGGGTTTAGTACTGTCACAAGAGGTAAGATTTCCTTGATGCCTCATGATTATCTGTAGACAGAAGACCAAATTCTCTTCTCATGCTGGTGCAAATTGGGAGCAACTCCACTTAAATCAGTGGAGTTACACCAATGCAAGACAGTGCAAGTACTGTAAATGGTAAGAGTCATGCCCACAGCAGCTTCTAGGGAGAACTCTTGTCCATGTCTCATGTCAGGGTTTTCCATTTTCTTTACTATTAGAAACATTTGCATAGGGCCCGTGTTAAAAAGTTCATATTTGTCAGTATATTCTCCACCTAGAAAGTCATAACCTTCAACTCATGACAATAATCTGGTGCTGTGTAAAGGATTGCAAAGATCAACAACTACTTCAAGAAGGCAACAAAGAGCAATAACAGAAACTCTGAACAGATCTGTGAACTAACTCGTATTACTACTACTAGTAGTAGAAGTACACTTACATTTTTGTTTTGTTTTGTTAAAAGGGAAACAAAACAAGAAATGACATGGACTATAGCTCTCTTTAGAAATAAGGCTTTCCCTCAATCTTTCAAGACACGTCTGCTAGTCTTCATTTACATTTTGGGTCTATAAGAACTCCCTCCAAATGGACACCTATTCAAAACTCTGGGCACCCTCAACATACAGAAGAGCATAGGGAGACACAATGTAAAAGTTGACCATAGCAGCACCACTTCTTCCTTCCACCCAACCACACATCATCTGACCAATACTGCTTGAAACCCTCCATTACTATACTTTTGGCCTTAGACCTTGGGCCTCAGTCTTTTGCTCACTCAAATCAGTGAGCTTCACAGCACATCCGGAAAGTCTACACATTCGGATTACATTAGACCTTATGGAGAAAGCAATCTTGAGGAAAGGGATCCTTATAAGAGGGCAGAAGGTTCCCTTTAAATGAGGAGGGATGAGCTTCAAGATTTCTGCTGTTCACTATGATGGCAGTAAGGCAAGGGAAGAGAAGTGGTCCCAGGCAGACAGGTCCCAAGCCCTTTGTAGATCAAAACCAGCTCCTTAATGACACTTTGGGGTTATTCGTTCTCTAGTTTTCAGGGATGTGTGTGTCATGTAAGACTTACTGGTCTTAAGTTCTAATGCATCTAATTCTAGAACTGTACACTTACTTTGGTGGGATTGCTTGTGCATAAAAACAAACCAAAAGAAAGGATCTACCACAAATGTACTGGACCCCGCGTTTCCTGTGAAACACACAACCCTGCAGCATTGTGAATTCTCTCCCTTGGAAGTAAAGCATTTTTCACTGAACCCAGATAGGATACGGGCAGTTGCACAGCAGTTTATGTAAAATCCCTTAGCATTCCATTCGCACGTCTAGTTCAAAATGGATTATGGACCAAGGACTATATTAACGGAGGGTTTAAAAAAAACCACAAACAACCCAACAACACCACTCTCCTACCCTCCACTCCTCGCAGATGGTGACTCCACCACAGTTTTCAAAGTAAATCCGTGAATGTAAACCAAATGAACCAGATCAATGTAAAGAAATTGGGTAAAAGTCACTACTCTGTTCTTAATTCACACCACAGTTCCTTGATATTGCAAAAGTCTCAGAACAATAATCTGACAGGCTAATCAACATACAATGTGTCCGTGTCATAACTGTTGGGCATAGCCGGAACGGTTATGACCACACAATTATGGCCCTTTATAATTCTTCCTGTTATGCAGGGGATTTCCTACTCAACAGGGTGAATTCCAGCACTGTTCACTCAGTAACAGACACTCCCTTTCCACAGGACAGAAAGGATTTTAAGAGAGACTCCACCGTCTTTGGTTTAGAGTTTTCTCATTACTGAAAGTGTAAGTAATAAATAATGGTGTGACTGTGGCATTTAGGGTTCCCCTTTAAAAAAAAAAAACAATTAAAGGCAAGATTTTGAACCTATCCTTTTCCAAAAGTATCTTACAATAGCTACTTAGAATGCCAGAAAGACTGTGAAATTAGCTCTGAATTATGTCATAATACAATAACAATATTACCTCGCCAACAGAAGGTCTACTCTGAGGGGCAGGAGTGAGTGGAAAACCATTTCAGCCATTCAGAAAAACTAGACTGTTCAGAGCTTAGCAGCTGGAGAAACTAAAAATAAGGAGTTCTGTTTTCTTTGACCCCAACTTTTACAGTTGCCAGCAGAAGCTATGATGGGAAATATCACAGCTTCCTTTGAGAATTCTCAAAAAATCCTAACCACTGCCAGCATCTCTCTTCATAAACAGACACTGTTCATTTCCTGTGTGTTTATAAACACACCTGCTCCATCCATGGAATTGTTCCATAAGGGAGCAATAAAGCTCTTATTTGCAGCCAGAAGACTAAGTTCTAAATTGGGTCTGCACTCTCTAGCTGATTTATTGAGGAATGAGATGGAACATTATGGCCAGAGACTCAGAGGAAAGAAAGAGGGAGTTTCATTTTATGACTTTAATTTGCAATTAAACAAACTCAAGTTCTGTCTGAAGTTTCTCCAAGATAAATTATACATACCATTTGGGGAAGCTGCACCCCCCCCCAGAAGCTAAAGGGTCTAGCACCTGATTGAAATGTTAATGTGTTATAAATTAACTTCTCAAAAACAGAGCCCATTTCCAGTGGAGCAGTCTAGGTTACAGAGAAATCTTAATTAGTAAGAAAAAACAAATCACATCCAAGGTTTGACATTAAACTCTGCCGCCAACTATTTTAAGCTCCCCTGTGAAGCCTGGAAAGATACAGTGCCTGAGTCTCCTCATATTAGTGTAAGGTGAGGAATAACTCTACTGGAGTAAAGGGACTTTAAATAGTGTGAAATGAGTAACAGGAAAATCAGCCTCATTCTCTAAATATATCATACACAGTTTCCATTAATATATGCACTAAGTGAATATAACCGCACACAAACAAAGACAGCTCAGTTCAAGATTGAGCATGATGAGATGGGCAGGTAGGATTCCAAATCCATTTTGGCACACAGGTTCCCAAAATATTATAATTTATTCCTCAAAACAATGGATGTTCCAAAAAAATAATAACTGAGATCATTGCTAGATTAGGGTTAAAGGAAAAAGTTTCAGAGGAAGCCAGTTTAGAATATTTTTTAATTTGAAAAAATAGCTAGTATATTTCTCTGTGTTTTGCATTTTAAAGGGATCCGTTTTGCCCCAGACAGAAGGCTGGAACAGCACAGAGGAAACAAAGCAAGGGCAGAAGAACTTTTGTAATTAAGTTGTTAAATAAGTAAAATACTTGCTGGACAACAGGTATACTGTACAAATATACAGAAAAACAATCAGTCTCTGAATTTGTGCCCACATTTTTTGGGCATACAGGATGGTTGGTGCATATAAAAGTGACAGCATTTGGACATTTAGCTACCTCCACTGGAAGATCTCACTCAAACATGGCCCTTTGCCTTTAACGTAGGCGTGCTGCATTCTGTGTAAACACCCTATTTTAGGCTGCTGCTTTGCCAGGCATAGATTTACCACAGGTAGCTTTCACAATATACCCCTACGTTTTCCCACATATTCACAGGCCAAACCCGAATAGGAAGAAACAGTGACCACACCTATATATCCTGCTGAACTCAACAGTCACCAAGTTACTTTCTTTATAGGAAAGAATATCACACAGATCCTATGCAAGGGCCCATCCTCTTCTATTGTCTCAGTTGTGCTATACAAATACATTGTTATGAGCAATCACTCTCATTAGTTAGTAAGCACAGACAGTTCATTTAGGGTCTCCTCCAATTGGCTTCTCATATTCTTTCCGATCAAGTATAAATGGGTGCCATTAAAACTTAGTATTAACCTTTCCAGATATTTAGGTTAACCACTCTATCTTCCAAATTGTAAGTTAGGCAATACAGTGGTACTATAATTACTGTGGAGTGATAAATGCTAATGTTTTAATGGTACTCACTGCAGCTAGTATTCTAAGAGCACTCAGCTCTGATCCTAAGCAGTATGCATACTATTATACCACCAGATGATTGCAGCTTGCCAAAACTACAACTACATTTGGGATAATACTTGGGGATAATGACAGACAGAATTAGTTATGGTAACTACCAATGTAGACGCATGGCAGACTAAACTCAACTAATTCACTAACAGGTGCAGGAGTCAGAACGCTCAAACACTGGAAAGACAGCATGACAGATCACATTGCTACTCATAAAACAAACATCATGGAAACACTGCCATGGAAGAAAAATACAATTAAGACCTCAGCATTATCCAATTCATCAATGGTGATCAACTGGAAAAGAAAAAAGGAGAGAAGAAGAGAGGTTGAAAGCAAACATTAGTAAGCGAAATTACAAATAAATCCTGCATTAGGAACTTTGATATTATTTACCATTTCAGTTCTAGTTTGGTATTCTACAATATCACGAGAGGCATTAAAGGCTAGAGCAAGGCTCTATGATACGATCATCTTAGCTGACATCTGCTCTACTGGAAATATTCTGCCACGGAACTGAACAGACAGGATGCACTCATGCTTTATTCACCTACCAACTGTCAATCCATACAGATTGGCTACACAAGCACCAAGAACTTCACCCTTGGGCATAATAGTAGGCCCCAGCGTGTGAGTGGTCAGCAACACAAGATACCCATCTTAGAATCTTCACAGAGAGTTGGGGAGAATGGCAGCAAGAAGACAGAGAAGCTGAATTCCAGGTTAAGTCTCAAAATCTGGGTTACTGGAGTTTGTACAACTGGCCCTAATAAACCTGCTGCCACTCATGCAGAAAACATCTGTACGAGCGAGGTGTTTCAGTGAAAGTCCAAGTCTGGGCCTATTTGACGCTACTAACGTAGTATGGCTTTCAGCTCATTAGGAATACCACAGCCTATTACTGATCACTGAGAAAGCTGCGCAAATGCCAAGATTTAAGGACTGTAGTAGCTGTGTCAGTCCCAGGATATTAGAGAGACAAGGTGGGTGAGGTAATATCTTTTATTGGACCAACTTCTGTTGATGAGAGAGTGAGAGCTTGTCTCTCTCACCCACAGAAGTTGGTCCAATAAAAGATAATACCTCACCCACCTTATCTAAGAAATCTCTTCAGCCATATGTAAAGTTTCAAGCATTCCACAAATGTACAACTGATTTTTTTTATTTTTTTTTAAATTCAGATCATGGGAAAATCCAGGAAGTAACATGGGATAACTATGAAATGATGGGAAAGAGAGTGGGAGGAGTGTGTGCACAGCTCTACATGCTAATTTATAGCACAATAAAAAGGTCAGCCTTTGAAGTGAAAAACCATAACTCTTGTAACAAATACTTTATGGCATGGGAGGAGGAAGAATCACAGACATTCTGCATTACACTGTGGCCACTCCCACAGTCAAACCGTAGCACAACAGGCTAGCATCTGGGAAAAAGCATTGAGTAGTGAGCTTGGATCTTCAGTCCACAGGCCAGCAGCCAACATTTCTCCCACTGCATCTTAGTAGTAGCAGCATCTGGGCTCTAATCAAGTCCTTTGCATGTTGCACAGAATCACAGCAGTACTGTGGGCAGTCTGGGATGGAACCAGAAGTCACGTACAGCCTTTGACAAAGGCCTTGGCTGTTGGAGCCAGACAATCTTATATTTTCTCTAGATGTCCCTTTGGTGGGAGGGAGACTGAGTGAAAATACAAGTCCACAGGAAATACAATGCTGGTGTGTCTGGTTTATAGTGGGGGGAGAGGAGGTCAGGCATATTTATAGAGAGGGCAATGCCTCTAAAAAACAGATTGGTTGTCTATTACTAGACTCGCTGGTCTCAACTAGTATGCAGTATACAATATAACAAGATCAGACACTAGACGGAAACTTTCCTTACACTTCTTTTGCTAAATTCTACTTCAGGTCTGACCTGCAGCTCTCAATTCCACAATAGACAACTACCAGATCTAGTAGATTATAGTGGCAAGAGAGGTAAACAAATGCCTACTAGGGATTAAGATAATAGTAATTCAAAGTTATTTGGAATGGAGGTCTCCAAATGCCATAGGAGATGGCAAATCACATGGTTAAAGTGGGGATGAGCATTGGGGATAGGGCACAGGGGAGAGGACTAGACTTTTGCTGAATCGCATAAGTGAAGTCCTACCCATAACTGAACTAAAAAGCACTTTGGCTCTGCCAAATAAACTTTTCTCATACTTGAACAGAGCAAAAGCTGAGGTAAAGTTTTACAACAGAGTGGGGAAAAATGAACAGGCACTCATAACTGTACATGCATGCAGAAGTCAGGGCCTAAACTTTGTCATAACCATTTTAAATTTATTTCAATCATAACCTGACATAGAGCTACTGAGTTAGCAAGTTCAGAGATAGTTTATGAAAATGGGGTATGAAGTCTTTAACCATATTTAAGAAAGGGAAGTAGAAGTGGTAAACAGAGTGCTCTAAGCAGCCTCTCTTTGTTGCTAAAATTTCTTACAATATGTAGAAGTATCAAGGAGAAAATAAGTAGCTATTAGCATTCACAATATATTATAGTATAAATTATTTGAATGCCCTTATCTGCAACAGTACTGCTCACACTTCTCAGATTGGTTTACAATAAATTAGGAGTTCTCCTGAACAGATGCAACCCTTTCTACCTTGAGTATCTTCAAGAACCCTAAATTTAACAAGGGTAGCACAAGATTATTTTTACTTCAGAATAGCTTTTAAAGAAATGCGTGTTGCCTTTAAGTGGTGAATAAATGCAGTTAGGAGTAGTCACCAGGTAAAAAATGAATCCTTCTACTTCTTGTGGCCAGACAGTCAAAGTTTATCTATAACTAGCAGCTGATAGTTGGCAAACAGCTTTTCCCCTTACTGAAATCTGCTTCATGGGCTATTCTATTCTTGTACTGCATGTATTATGTAACTGATCAACTATGGTAGAAGTTGATACGTTTCATCTCTGCTTATCTTTAACTTGGAAGATGTTTAGAATTTTGTAGAGCTTTACAGGCCATTTGTGGAGACAACATCATTTAATTTGGTATCAGTGTTTTAAAATTATTTTCATTATGTTCTCTGGCAATATCTGCAGTTCCACTTTTACCAAAACCCTGGCAAAGCTCTGATAAATGAAGTTTGCTTGAAGCAAAATTTCCAGTGGTATCAGTAACACAATAAAAAAAAAAAAAAAAAAAAAAAAAAAATCTGTTTCAAGACCAGGTTGGTTCCGTTGATTTCAAGATATGCCACACCCAATCTCATTTTACATTCCTTAGGCTGGACATGATTGGTGATGTCCTTACGCTGGTTTTAATGGAAAAAACTCGGGATGAACATGCTCCAAAGAGTTTAGTAGCCAACTGTAAAAACCCTGAGGTATCAGTAGTTTATTTGCAATGCCAAGTACACTAGAAGCTGGCTCTTGAGTAGTGGCAGATATCACCTCTCAGTCATGAAGTCAACATTTATGTTAATCAGAGATGAGATTGTGGCTTGGGTGGCCATACCTTGCTAGCTTTAATCTAGCTAGCACAGTTAAAAATAGTGACTACACCGTGGCACAAATCCCAGCATGGTCTAGCAATACAAGTAGGTACCTAATTCAGGATCCAGATGGGCTTGTACAGCCCATGCTCCCACATCTTTCCTGCTATTTTCAGCGGTGCTACCTTAATTAAAGCTAGGTTTCATAGGGGTAGCCGTGTTAGTCTGTATCAGCAAAAACAACGTGGAGTCCTTGTGGCACCTTAGAGACTAACAAATTTATTTGGGCATAAGCTTTCGTGGGCTATAATCCACTTCATCAGATGCATGGAGTGGAAAATACAGCAGGCAGGTATAAATATACAGCACATGAAAAGATGGGAGTTGCCTTACCAAGTGGGGGGTCAGTGCTAACAGGGCCAATTCAATCAGGGTGGATGTGGCCCATTCCCAACAGTTGACAAGAAGGGGTGAATATCAACAGAGGGAAAATTACTCATTGTAGTGCTAACAGGGCCAATTCAATCAGGGTGGATGTGGCCCATTTCCAAACTAGTGCAGGTATGCCTATCGGAGCTGCAATCACATCTCCAACTGCAGTGTAGACGCATCCTCAGAAATGAGCCATGGCTACAAAGGACCATCTAAGCCCTTTGCTAGAGCAGCATCATCTATTTTACAGGTTTTGCATAGTTGACTTCCATATGAGGCTAGAAAGCAGGTAAAAAGTAAATAAACTAGATCCAGACAGAGAGAAGTTGAAGGCTCCCAAACAGCAGTGGATTAGAGTGATATTCAGCGCAAATTACTGTCGGCTTGTCAAGACTGGAAAGCAGGTTTAAAACATATACATGCAGGATGTTGCCAACACCCCAATCCTACTTGCAGTGAGTTAGGGCATTCCACACAGTTATTGTTACTTTATTTAAAAGAATGATTACTGCTGCTTGCAAGCAAGGCTTAAAAGCAAGCAACTTCACAGAGCTAGGCAAAAGGTGCTGAGTTGGGCTGGATCACTGACAGGGGAGGAAGTTGTGACACAGAGAAGCGGGAAGCAGCATTCCCAGATCAGACAGGGAGTGTAGCATTGCCCATCCCCACCTCCAGGGTATTTTCCTGGGAGTCTCCTGCTCATTTACGGTATTGCGTGGGTGCACGGCAGGGGCATGTGGCCGGCAATAGCCAACATGCTCATGGCATATTGGAGAAGGATCCTCATCGCTTTGCCTGGTTTATCTTCGAGACTGTTGCACTTGTGGGTTTCGCAAGCCTGCTGTTTGCCAAGTGGGGAGTGACATGCCTCATATCCGACTAACCTTGGAGTGGGCTGAGGCTGCCTGCATCACCCTCAGATTGGCAAACTTCAACTAGCTCATCTTAGTGGTTTCTCTACTTTCCACTGCCTACATCAAACAGCACTCCTCATCCTCCCCTGAAGGGACAGCCTTAGACAAGGGTCTGTAAAGAAGCTGTCCAATCTCTAACTTTTTGCCTCAAACTAATGGGTTACCATCATCTAAGACTGACCAACTTAGCACTTTGTCATGACTTCAAACCCAGCTTGCAATTAACTTCTAATTAGAGAGCCTCATTTGTATCACTTAGTAAAACTATTCAATTGTCCATCTGCATAAAAGAACGCTAAGCAAACTGCTCACAGAGATTACCTTTTCTAACAACTCAGTTCAACCATTCAATTGCTTCCTTCCCTGCTTTGTAATTATTGCCTCTCAAGTGCTCATGGGCAGTTGTTTCTGTGGGCTACAGAGCTATGATTCGGTTTCTTGTGTACTGCAGCTTTTAAGTGTAAGAGTCCCACCTGTCTACGAGAGGGCAAGACCACGAGGCATTTCACGCTGGAGACTCTCAAGTTAGAGACACTCTACTTTCTGTCACACAGATTTTAATCTTTGCTCTTTCTTTGCTTGCTGTTTTCCTGAATTTAAAATGAAAGCCATCTAGATTCAAAGCACATTTGAGTCTGTGTATGGAAAACATAATGGTTCTTCTCTTTGTAGCTGTCCCTAAGATGTACGGTACCTGTTCAACTCCTTTCATCCATCAAAGGTCATGCTCTAATCTTTTCATCGCTTGTCACCCTGCTTTGGGTTCTTTTATTTTCCATGTCTTCATAGAGAGACAATAGAAGCAGAGCTCCAAAGATGGGATATCTATCCCAGTGTGTCAATACAGCTAAATCAAATTGAAATATGCATCAATATATTTAAAAGTATGGGACTGGGTGTGTAAGTGTGAGAGATAAGCACATTATTCAGATACAGAGGAGAGATCTATAGCTCCAGAAAGAGAAAGACTCCCTCTTGATGGGAAAAAGGAATAGTATTTTAATGGAAAACTATTAAGGTTGTATACCAACCAATCTAGAATTCAAATTCCACAGTACCACAATAGAGAGAAGCTAACTCAGCTACATATAAGTCAAAATAAAGCTATCAAAAGAATCCTCTTATTGACAGGTCACATGACTGCATGGACAAGTCTCCTATAAGCAGCTATAACATATGGTTATCTTCTATAATGACAACCAAAGGGAACAGATTCCACATTGCTGATCAGGATGCAAACTATTGCAGAAATTAGACAAACCTGATATTCTAAAATAAGAAGCCAGAGTAATTAACTAACTTCCAATTTAATGTCATGATCTTGAAAGCAATTAGTTGACTAGAAAGGTTTTATCCTTAACCCGAGGTATAAATACAAATTTAAAGGCTTAGTACTGTATTTTCTCTCTCTGAATAGTAAAGACAGTGTTGAACAAAAGCAAAATGATAAACTGTAAATTAAGTACCTTCTCTCCATAGCCTCTATCTTTGGTCATCATTTCCCTGAGTGTCTGTAATACTTTAATACATAGTTTCTCCTCATTCTCCTCCAGCAGCTGTTTAGTGTGTTTTATTAACCTGAAAACAACCAATTGATCATAGTTTGTTTTAGTACTAAATTTTCTAAAAATTAGGACATGCATTTGTGGCTCTCTTATCTCAATGGTCAAAGCTACAACCATGAAGTTAATTAAAATGTGGTTTTGTTAAGGACCAGTATATAGTAAGCTGGCGAGTACCCCCTTAATAGTAACACTTGCTGAGTTATCATGAATACCAGTGAAGCTATGAAGGGAACTCAAGCATTCCCACCTGAACAACAGCCAGGCAAAAATAAATCTATATATAGGGATCAAGGAATTATATAGGAGAGGGGGAAATTAAAAATGTCCACTATGAAAAACCAGTAACATTAACAAGACACTAAATACTGCATCTATTTCCTCATTAAAGAAAAAAAGAACGTGGACCTTGGATAAGGCAACTGGAAACCATACGATGACACAGACTTCGACTTTGACTCACTACCCCAGTGGTAAGAGGGATAAAGGCAAGTGTTTTGTCGACACACTCTTGGGACTAGAGTCAACTGGCCCCAATCTCACTAATAAGGAATAACTCTAAAAATGTGTGTAGTCATTTGTATTACAGTACACCACGGCCATACATTGCTCCAGAATTTGCAAGCTTCACCTGCAAGGACAGATTGACCAATATGGACAGCTGTTGTCAACTCCTTCCTGAAGACAAATGAGTTTATTTTCCTGAAGACAAGTCGTGTTTAATACAACACAACACAGGGGACTGCTCTGCAAGGAAAGCACTCTTGCACAGAGCATAAGGAAACAACTTACTTGCAAATGAAGCCTCCACTTTCACATTTTCTCCTTGCATCTGTGTTCTCTGGGAAGAGCAGCTCTGGCCTATGAAGAACATCTACCAGCACTGACAATTCAGCCTGCACTAGGGGGCGTAAGCGATCTTCCAATGCGGATACTATATCCTAGGAAACAACAACATTCAGGTTTTGTCAATCCCAAGCAATATCTTTGGGGACCATATTTTATAAAGTTTATGAATGGTTTATGTATCACTGCGTGCCAGGGACTGTATACAACTCCAGAGGGAAGGAGTATCACAGCTCCTCCAAGAACCAAAAACAGTGGGGGGGGGGGGGGGGGGGAGGGGGAGATGCAGTGATTAAAGTGAGTCACTTAGGGTACATCTTCACTACCCGCCGGATCGGCGGGTAGTAATCGATCTATCGGGGATCGATTTATCGCATCTCATCTAGACGCGATAAATCAATCCCCGAATGCACTCCCCGTCGACTCCGCAACTCCACCAGAGTGAGAGGCGGTAGCGGAGTCGACAGGGGAGCCGCAACCGTCGATCCCGCGCCGTGAGGACCCGAGGTAAATCGATCTGAGATACGTCAACTTCAGCTACGCTATTCACGTAGCTGAAGTTGCGTATCTTAGATCGATCCCTCCCTCCCCCAGTGTAGACCAGCCCTTAGGTTGTAAACATCTCCAGGAGAGACATCAGCCCCAGGAAGGCTTGCATATACTGGTTCAAACTACGTTCCCAGAGACCAATACATAAAGAAATGGCTTTGGATATAAAAAAGGCTGGGCTTAAAAGGGACTCAGGGCCTTCATTCGGATGCAGCAAATGGACAGAACCTTCTGTCCAAGAGGAACCCCAATCCTTGAAGAAGGGTTGGAAAGATTTCAGCCTATTAGGGTCTCAGTAAGACTGATGAGTGACTCCTGGAATGTTTAGTGTATGTTTAAATCTGTTTATTGTTTTTACTCTGTTTTCTCTGTAATGCTTTTTTCTGTAAGAATAAAGCTTAGAGAGGGTAATATAGTAACTTGTAACCTGACAGCAATATGCTGTGCATAGCCCTCTGACAGAAAACAACACAGTGCTTGCTATTACAATGTGATATCCCCCAACAAACCAGTCTGTCTAAGGCAAGGGACGGTGGTACCTTCAAACCCTGGCCCAAAGAAAGTGGGTCAAGGATCCCTACTCAGAGGCAGGTGATGGCTGGAGACCGTGAAATCTGACTGCGCACTCCTGGAGTGGACCATGGGGGGGGGGGGGGAGGAGAGATACAGGTGCAATTTCCATGAAACTGTCACAACTGTATCCTAGAAAACAACATTCAGAAGTTATACTCAAATCTGAAATGTTTTGACAGACTAGTGAAGATGTACGTCCCTGTTTAAAAATCCCACCAGATTACTAAACATTAGCATTTGCCTAACAAGATCTCCATTTGATTGGCCACTGAATGTTACAACTAGTGCCATCATTTTCAGCGACTCCTGAGATTACTTGGTATTTTCCCATTTCTGTTGGTGGCTCTTGCCTATAAGGAGTAAAAAGCCAATGAAAATGCAGATTCTCTGTTATACTGCAAATTTCTGCAATAATGATCAGAAAACACTACGCTTCATAATTATTTGGACCAACAAATTAATACAACTGGTTGAAATCAGGCAAAAAAACAAAATCATAATTTCCCCCCCTTTTCATCCATTCTTACAAATGAATATTCTGCAGAAAATATATTCTAGAGAGATTCACCCCAATTTCATTGAGCAGAAGTTACAGAACTGCAGAAAAAGTTACTGAGAGGATGTTTAGTCAAATTGACATGCCTAAGTGGACAGAAAACAGATGAAGAGTAGGGGACTACAGGAATTAGACTACCTTTATTGGACAGTATTTTGACTTAGATCCAATTTAGGCACAAGCAATTTAAATCAAGACTGCACACCAGGAAAACATTTTCCCCCACAGAACCAATCTTTACAGATAAAGATATAATCTAAAGCACTGAATTTTATTCAGTATAAAAAGTAAAGTGCCTTATTACTGAATATTTAATCATCCTCAGGTCTTGATATTAGTACCGAATAAAGACGTAATTAACGTATTTCCAGTATAAACCCTGACCTGACCTGGTCTGCCAGCATCACAAGTAGTCAGAGTGTATTGTTTAAATTTTCTTTTGAGTAGAAATCAGTATGAAATTGTACAAGTAGTATCATTTCAGACAGATTATTTTGTTCATTTGAGGAAGCAACAACTTTGGGTCATTAAGAGTCAATCTATCAAACAAACAGTAACCTTTACAACAATTCCCAGACTGTGGTCTATGGAGCCTTTTATCACATTAAATGTTTTGATAACCAAGTAGTGAAGTACTGGAGGGACTTGGAAGTAAGCAACAAATTAGAGGATCCCTCTCTCTCTCTCAAGGAGCAGTTGAAATGAAACCACTGGTACTGGCAGAATGAAAATGTTGGGAGAACCACAGAACTGGACAAACGTGTTTTGAAGTAACTTCTTCTCCAAGGGCCATAAAACTGCCACAAGCTTTAGCTGTGCATGCAGGGTCGCCCAGAGAAAGGGACAAGTGGGGCAATTTGCCCCAGGCCCCGGGCCCCGCGAGCCCTGGCCTGGGTCTTCGGCGGCATTTCGGCAGCATGGGGGCCCTTCAGCGGCGGGTCCTTCAGTGCTGCCGAAGACCCGGAGCGACCGAAGGGCCCCCCGCCGCCGAAATGCCGCCGAAGACCAGGACCGCCGCCGGGTGAGTACAAGCACCGCAGCTCCCCCGCTTTGCCCCAGGCCCCCTGAATCCTCTGGGCAACCTTGTGTGCATGTTCCATTACCTGTTTCAATAAATGGTTAACATTTGATTTTACATACAGTATTACATTAGCTTTGGCTGTGGTTATCACATGTGGCATTTTTACTTTGACTCAGAACTCCCAAACTGAAGTAGTAAGTTTGCCTTTTTGTGCCGACATGCAAATATGTGGCTACTAAGATGGCAGAAGTAAGTTGTTAATGCAGCACTCTGTATTCACCTGCAATCTTTCAATGATGTTTCGATAGTCTCTGGAAGCAGCTAGCACTGAGTCTCTACGGGCAGCATTCCTTGCAGTCATTCTCCAGTTCATTGCAGTTTTCTGTACTATGTTGTGTGATTTTAGGAAGAGGTTGTTGACCTGGCTGTCCAAATCCACAGGTATTGCAATTGCTCGACTTTTCGCTGCAACAGACAAAAGGTAATAAGAATGGACTCCTTTAGCCCCTACATGCAATCAATAAAGGAACAAGGGGGGATCCCAAGCTGTGCTTCTTTCATACTCTTTTCTGTATATTTTAAATACATTTTGTATGATGCTGTTTTCAATCCACAGTGTAATGAATCTGACGCCCTTGGGGCAGTCATAATACCTTAAGTTTAATACAGCCTTTTTCATATTCAAAGCTTTTTCCTAACTTCACAATGTATGAACAAGACCATGCCCTCACATACACCTTCATAACTCCCATTAAGGTTAATAGGATGTGCACATCCATCTTATGGAACAATTTGGCCCTGTGTCTTATGTCCACAAGGCTTACTGTCCTTGCAACCAATATGCAGCAACTTCTGGGAAGGAACGCGGCAGCCATCTAACAGCACAAATCAGCAGTTCATTGTTTAAAATTGGAGTATGACCGTCATTCAACAGAAACCACAGAGTGAATTTAGGTCAGTAAAAACCCATCGTTTCAGATGCCAAGATGTACTTTCAGAACTTCTGCCCCTAGTTAATCAAACAGTTTACAGTTTCACCGCACATTTACATGGAAAACATTTGTTGTGCAACCACGGAACAGACTTTAGCTACGAAGGACATGCTCGATTTGCTCCATGCCTTAGCTCTGAGTTAGCTACATCCCACCATCGGCTGGAGGTAGAATACATCTTGCTTTTGGGATATAAGGGTGAAACATTGGACGGAAGTATTTTGTGCATGTTAAATCTAACTTCTTACCTACATCAGAGAGCACCCTAATGCAGCTCTCCACCGACGCTTTTTGGCTTGGCATTAGCCAGTTGCAGTGGTATACCCTGAACACTCCTTGCAACAGTTGTACAAAGACAGGCTGGCGAGTCTAGAACACATGAAAAGAACCAGATCAAAAACATCATCCCATGTTTGAGATTAGGTTGTCTGCTACTTCGATACTACATCAGCCATTATTCTTTGCAGACCGACAGCATGTTACCAGTCCACATCCACTTGTAAGGCAACATTTATATTCTGGGCAGCACGTCTACTACACAAGCAGCAGTTTAACAGAAGAGGGAGTATCAGGGCAGATAGGGAAGTGTCAACTAGACGGCTCCTAGGGCATGAAGTCCCACTAAATGCACTATCACTAAGCATAGGAAATAGGCAGTAATCTTTAGTTTGTATGAGGGAGGGTTTTCAGCAGCCTAAAATACAGAGATTGCTCATTTGGGATTGACCAGAGGGTGGCTCAGCACTCAATAGGAAAATGGGGCTTGGCTCTCGCTAAACTACAACTCAGCTCCATAATTATCAACTGGTCCTTTTCTGAAGTTTGTTGGCTTCTAATTTACAGATACGGGTTTTGAACAGCTGTAATTTTGAACATGGGTCACAGTTCGTTTATAAATGCTGCAGCTGCCATGGATGAGTCAAAAAAGTCAACTATATGGCCCTTTGCAAGATTTTCCACTATAGATAAGCCAACATCCCCACCTCAAAGAGGCAAAATACTCACACATGAGTACTCTGCTATCTCTGCAAATACATCCAAACAGTTTCAAAACCAAATCATTGTTTTGCTTTATGTAAGCAGTTTTTAAGTGTAAGTATTTATTTTTTTTAAACTGTGGATTGACAGTATTTTTTTTAAAACTGTCCTGACAAACTTGTTTCAACACTAAAAAGCCTGCCTATAGTGAGAGGCAACACCCATGTGTCTGTTTCTATTCGGTACATAATGCTTAGTTTAAGTCAACCACACCTCAGTGCAAAGCCCACAGTTTTAGGAACTACTGGAAAATACCTCTGTTAGTCTTGTCAAGACTGATGTCTGTTATAAAAAAAAAAAAGCTGGAATTAGAGAAAAGGAAATATTTTTTCCTTAATATTTTTTCCTCAAATTGTGAAATAACTCCATGTGTTGGCAAAGGGGAACAGAGTTTACTTAGAGTAGCACAATAGCAAATGCCCATCAGCCTTTCCAGCAACACAGCCAAATGTCAAAATATTGCAGACTCTGGTCTAAATACATTGAAACTACCTATGTTTCTGGACTCTAGCCACTCACACATTCCTTATAGAACATGTTTAAAGATTTAGCGGTCTGAAAACTTCAGCGATGTTCCACTTGCTTAAATGAGGTCAATAAATCAAAACCACTCTAAACTTTGTAAAATAAGGTTTGGGTCAGTAGTGCCCATAGGAGGGAAGAAAGCCAAGATAAATACAGTGAAGAGGCAGTTATTTGGGAAGTTTTTGTTTGGAAAGGAATCTGTACATTACCCTAAGATTAAGGGGTGACTTGATTAGTCTGTAAGGACCTAGATGGGGAACAAATATTTGATACAAGTTGATGCTAGAGAAATTCAGACTGGAAAAAAAGACAAAAATTTTAACTGAGAGAGTTATTAACCATTGGAACAATTTACCAAGAGGCATGGTGGATTCACCACCACTGGCAATTTTTAAATCACGATTGGATGTTTTTCTAAAAGATAGAGTCTAGGACAGGGGGCGGCAACCTTTCAGAAGTGGTGTGCTGAATCTTCATTTATTCACTCTGATTTAAGGTTTTGCGTGCCAGTAATACATTTTAACGTTTTTAGAAGGTCTCTTTCTCTACGTCTATAATATATAACTAAACTATTGTTGTCTGTAAAGTAAATAAGGTTTTTAAAATGTTTAAGAAGCTTCATTTAAAATTAAATTAAAATGCAGAGCCCCCCAGACCGGTGACCAGGACCCGGGCAGTGTGAGTGCCACTGAAATCAGCTCGCGTGCCATAGGTTGCCTACCCATGGTCTAGGAGTTTTAGGGGGAGGGAAGTTCTATGGGCTGTGTTACACAGCAGGTCAGTCTAGATGATCACAATGGTCCCTTTTGGCCTTGGAATCTATTAATCTAATTTTGTATTATGTACATGGTCACACAAGGCAGGGACCTGCCCCAGGGGAAGTACAATGTAAGTCATGACACAGGAGGAGAGGACATCAGGGAAGGAGTGGGCTGAAGTTTACACAGTGCAAGTGTAGGAGAAAGCATGGAGACATTAGGGGGAGAACACAGAACAGAGTGGAGAAGCAAGGCAAGGCATATGGGCCTCAGAGGGGTAGCGGTGGGAGATTAGATGTAGGAAGCCACAGAGTTCTGTAGAGCACTGAAAGTGAAGACAAAACCTGAGTTTGATGCAAGAGATGTAAAGGCGGGAAGAGGGTAGCGGTTGGGTTTTGGGGGGGAGGCGGGGAGGAGGGGTGCACATGCCATCAGAGACTTGAATCATTTTCACAACAGCAATTTGCATAGGCTGGAGGGGTGCAAAGCAGGAATTAGGTCAGCCAAAGAGAGGCTACAAGTTACTTAAGGTGGAAGAGTCCGAGGATATGGACAAGGGTTTCAACAGACGGAACAGACAGATAGTGGAGATGAGGCAGAGGAAGAAAGATCTGGCAACAGAGTGGATGTGAGGGGCTGAGGAGAGAGGAGTCTAGGACAACCCAGAGGATTGTGGAACCATCACCCCCATGATGGAGAAGGGAGGATGAAATGAGATGCTTTGTCTCGCTATGTTTAGACAGACTTTGAGATGCTGGAAGGAGAACTGCAGATGCATGAATTAGCAGATAGGTAAAGTCTTGAGGTAAAGAAGTAGATTTAAAAGTTGCTGGCACAGAGAGGGCAATTACAGGCATGACAAGCACTGAGGTCACACAGTGATAAGGTACAGAAGGAACTGAAGACAGGGCAAAGGACAGAGCCATTCAAGACAGGGTAAATTAGTCATGACTTTTATTTTGCACAATACGTTTTGACAAATTTGCATGCAAACTGGTATTAAACTAACAACTTTCACTTCAAAGTCACACGAGAAGCAGATCAAACAGTATTAGGCAGTGAACATTAGCGTTTACAGCTGATTACTCAATCCTGTGCTTGTGCGGGTTAAGGTTCAGGCCCCTAATCAGGCCACTTACAGTGCAGATAGCTGCCACAGTTACCTCCTAGGCAATACACACAGATGGCAAGTTCGCCCTATCTGAACTGATCCTTCAAGCCCTTTAACTCATGAGAGTATCCTCAGTATGACTACTTACTTGCCTGAATAAGGATTGCTTGCCTCAGTAAGCATTACAGGAGCAAGTCCATTGTTTAATATAGACTCAGGTCCACAACTGGTCTTTCTTCCAGACTCAAGGAGGGCAGGCTCCCTCCTAATGAGAGAAATGTGAATAGAGCTGATCTAACCCAGAAGTGTGTGAGGGCTACTGCTCAGGGAAAAGGGGGAACCAATTGAACTGCTCAGAATTTTAATTCTTTACCGATTGCAAGGTCAGGCTGCGGGCTGTTTTACATAAACTTTCCTTGGAGTGGGACATGCTATAGCAAGCCAGTTAGCACACCACAATGGTTAGTATAAGTTCCCTGAAGAGGGGCTGAAAAGGCAAATTTCCAGATGCCCTTTATTGCCACAGTTGGAAATCAGCTGCTTCTTAACCTGCTGCCAGTTGTGTTCAATTACACACAATTGTTTTTCCTGCTTACCTGAGTTTGCACCAGGTTTCAATGAAAATCATATCCAAGCTCCTGACGACACATTCAGACCCCTGACCATCCCTCCCACACGTACCCAAAAGGCTATTTAAAACTTTCATAAAGAATTATTATTATTTAAGAGGCTGCCTCCACTATCACGGTGTCACTGCAGCAGTGATCCAGGTATTATCCTGGCAGGCGTCTTGGCACTGCTGTTAGTGCTGTTGTCATGCTACTCTTGCCTCGTGTCCTGTAAGGAAGAGATTGGGAGAACCTGGGAATGGAAGAGGAGAACAGCCATCTCCTTTTCACTTTACAAATGCATTGAGTCTCATGCTCCAACTTTCCCCAAGTTCACACAGGTCCAGAGATTTAATCGGGATGACAAAAGAAAAGAGGTGGCAGCATTTTTAAAATGTGTGATTCGTTTTAGAGAAATGAAAGCAAAGTGTCCTTAAAATGCAGTTTGTCTGAAGCAAGGTTTGAATCCAATTGGCCCATGATGCCGGCTTTTATCATCCACCTATTAAAGTTTCAGACCTGCACCTTTGTGCTTTCTCCCATAAACACCTACAAAGCCTCCTCATTGTACCTTTCAACGCCCTTGTCAGAACTCTTTTACTGTGATGCTTGCAAAATACTAGACAATGGTTAGGGTGCTGTTGTGTTGAGACCACGGGCTATCATCTGACCAATGCTATCTGATTGTTCCCTTGTACTATGTCTTTCTCCATCTGTTGTCTCATCTTATACTTAGTAGTATATGCAGTAGGTGTCTTCATGAACCAACCCCCAACCCCCGCCACCATCTCTCTACTTGCAGCGTAGCTACACTCTGCCAGAGCCACAGCAATGCTGTTTATCATTTCCCTTAAGAAAGCCGAACTTGGAGAGACAGGAACAGCACTGAGCACCAATATCATCCAGTTAGTGTCATTTTACAATTAAGCTTCTATAGAACCTGTTGAAAAGAATTCTGTACATGTAGTAGAGCACGGAGTCCCTTCTACAGGAAAGGGAGTGTTCAACTGTAATGTACTAGGAGGAAATATTTATACTTCTGTGCTATTCTGAATATTTATTCTCTCTCTCTTACCCTCCCCGCCCAACCTCCCACCTCTGACTTGTTTCTTTTTATCCTGTCGGATTACTGTGGTTTCATGAATAAAGCAGCTTATTTCCTTAACCTGTGGTACTGTCTCCTACCTGCAGAGTGGTGCTCTGATCAGAGAATGGGGAGCTGAAGAAGGTGGTGACTATACTCATCACGATTTCTGTGACATATTTCTCCAGGATGGAGTCAGCGTGCTTTCGGTCACTGGTGTTGTTACATGTCTACAAAATAATTATTTCTTTTAGAACACATCTTAAACTGATAAATATGAACATTTAATTGCTGTGATTTGGAGCATTAGTTCTGAATGGACTATCCCCCACAGTATTCTGTGTAAACCAAAATTACTCATATAGCTAGGACACACAAAGCCAAAAGCCTTATACTGTCATTTTTAATGTGCATCATATAGTATATATAGGAGAGGAAAAATTGGATACCTCAGAGCAAAGAATGCAGTATTATAGGTAGGAATGAGATGCAATGTTTTCCTATGGGGAACTACTTGGTATCCCAGGCACAAAGCCATTTGGAAAAATAAATGCCAAGTGCAGGAAAATTGCTCTAAACCTGCTAAAATATATCAAATACGGTTGGGGAAGGATCCACATGACCTGGCCAGAGTGAACAAGCCAGTGGCAGAATAGAAAAAGACATACGCTGCACAAGGGATTTTGTTTGTTTGTTTTATTTTAAGGGGGGGGGGGGAAAAAAAGAAGATCAACATGTTCCATGGAACATAACTAAAAGTCCACAATCACCTAAATGAAAAAGCAGGCAAATATAAATTTGAAATGAGAGGAGCCAGTAAAGAGCTTCCTGACTTGTGCTTTAAGATACACTGTTCCAAACCTCTGCTAATGCTCACCACAACTACGTCCGTTTGCTCTTTTAGATTTAGGTATAGGTATAGAAATCCTTACCCGACAGATGTCAACCAGGAAGTTCTCAAACAGTTTCCACATGTGATTACTGGTGTAAATCTCTTTCATTTCCACTTCTGTGTCCACATAGCAATGATTTAGGAAGTTGATATAGGCAATTTTAACCTACAAATGGAGAAATCAAAATGGTTAATTAAAAAAAAAAAAAACTAAATGGGCATTTTTAGTCAATGCAAGGTCATCACATTAAAACTGCTTTAAAAATTTGTAGCTGAATTTACAGAAACTATTGTTTTTATTTAAATATTGGTGAAATCGAATCCCATAAATAGCAAGACATCTGCAATGAAAAGGAAAAAGCCAGAAATACTGCAGCCACAATTCAGCATAATGTTAATAATTTGCACTTCTATTCAAGATTGGCAACGTACCTTACATATATCAATGTGCTCAGGCTCAAACACTCCTGGGGAGTAACCATCCCCATTTTAAAAATGAGGATGGGGGGGGGGGGGATTTACACACACACACTTCTTCCAGCTCATAGAAGATGAAGATTAATGGAGATATCCTATCTCCTAGAACTGGAAGAGACCTTGAAAGGTCATTGAGTCCAGCCCCCTGCCTTCACTAGCAGGACCAAGTACTGGTTTTAGCCCCAGATCCCTAAGTGGCCTCCTCAAGGATTGAACTCACAACCCTGGGTCTAGCAGGCCAATGCTCAAACCACTGAGCTATCCCTCCCCCGCAAATCCTCCTCCCCAAATCCTCCTCCCCATAGTCTTGTTGCTTACCCACAGGCCATTCTTTCCAGGCCAAAACAGGCCATTCTTTCCAGGCCAAAACAGAGTGATTAAAAACAAACCTCACTCCACTAACTTTAATACATTACACATGCAGGTAGGCAATGTTTAATATCAGACCTCACCTCAGGTATGCAATCCTCATGAGTTACTACTCTAACTATGTCATCTAATGGGAGGAGGGAGTTGCACTTGATTTCTGTGTAGACATTTTTGCCCTCTGTGCATACAGCAAGCAGTTCTACTAAATGGATATGGTACATCAGAGGGCTGTTTTCATCCATCCTGTCCCGCTCCGATCTCATCATTTGAACCAAGGTCTGGAAAGATGCTCTGTCGTTGTAGAACACAAGGACGTCTTCTCCCGCATTGACTAGCTATAAAAAAAGAACAGCTTTCTTTTGGGTTCCATTCTGTTATGTCTCCACTTAAGAGATTCTACCGGAATCAGACCATTTCTAGTACACACACATGCATGTGTACCTTCCACTTACCCAGCCCTTTTCTTCAGAGGACCTCAAACCTCATCCTCTAAACATTTCACTAACAGGCTGAAGGGTCCCCCCTTTAATCTAAAGCTATATATTATCTGTGTACTGGAATGTTACGCCCTTTTGCAATTACTTGTGAGTTCAATAAAACTGCAGCCCGCCAGATCCATCTGAGGCTCTGTACCTTGCACTCTCTTTCCATAGTTATAAATGATCTCTCTGAAGTATGACATCTTCCCCTAGTCCTCTGTTCTAAGTATGTTATGCCCTAGAACTCTATCACTTTTAAAATCTTTAACATCAATGTCAGTTCAACGGGCTCCTCATCAGTTAGATAAAAGTTCTTTCAAGAAGCTTCTGACTTTTCTGTAGTTATGTCATGAAGATTGCCTCAGCTGATCTGTCTGTAGTGTTAGCTTGGGGCACATGATTCTGTTCAGAGCAAAGTCCTTCGAGACCTCTGGGTGGTAGGACCTCAAGGCTGGGTAATTCCCCATTCCTTACACAATGATTTTCAACAAGCAGATAGAGGCATGATTAAGTCCCACGAGGCAGACTTCATCAACATTACATTACTTCAGGAGGAGCGGGGAGGCACATTTTCAGAACAGCTCAGCACTCCACCAGCCTCTATCGAGAACAGTAGGATGGATAGCAACCGAAAAGAAAGGGAGCTGCTGAGCACTGTTAAAAATCTGCCCTACAGATTTCAGACACATCCAGGCGCCTATCACAAACACAATGCACAGAGCAAAACTCACATGCAAAGCCATACTTCACAGGGCTGGACTCCGCAACGGGCAGAGCTCCCTCAGCTCACTGACTTCAACAGGAAAGAGGGTTGCTCAGCACTTCACAGGACTAAGTCCACACTGCACAGCTGACACTCTGCTTTAAGTTTAATTACAGCATGTGGAACAACATCCAGAGTCAAAAGTCCCAGTGAAATTGATGCATTAAGGCCAGAAGCTTAAAACAAAACAAAACACCCCACACTTCGGATCCCAAGGCTCCTCCAGAGGAGGAGGCGGCTAATTAACATCCTATTATCAAATAGGCAAATGCACTTTTGAACAGATGGATCCTTTGCAACCGAAATTAAAGGCAATTTGTTCCATCATTTCTCACACCTCCTCACCCTTCCCTCCCACCTCCCTGAGTTCACTATGGCCCTAACAAATTGCTGTGGACACACAATCTTCTCCTACTTTAAACACCCATCGAGGCGCCAACCCTTTCAGCTGGTTAAGGCCAGAAGAGACTCCCTATCTGAGTAAGTCCCACATCAGGCTGAACGGGAAAAGTTTAACAAAAGGGAAGGATTTTCCTCCCCTCCGCCACCCATTTTCTTGAAGTGATTTTACTGGAGAAAGACAGTCCTTCCCTTGACTCAAACCCATTTGTGACAGGTTGGGGAATCTATGTACGACTTATTAATTCCGTTTGGTTTTATGAATTTGCTGCATCACTGAATGCCTCAGTGTACGTGGACTCTCCCATCAGGGCTGGTAACCTGTCTCTCCCAAACCAGGGACAATGGAGAATTATTAACCTGAATGGCTCTCATTCAAATGGGAACACCTTCAAACAGTGGGATGGCTGAGCCCTAGGAGACCCAGTTCAACCCAGCTTGGCTGTAGGGAATGAGAAGAGGAGCAACGGAATTCCCCTAAAAGGGGAACAAAGAGACAGAGGTGTTGGTACAGCCCTTTCAAAACACAGAGGGACTCAGAGAGAGGGGAACAAAAAGGGACAGGCTTTAGGAAGGAGATGGGACCTATGGATTGTGGGACCAGACAAAGCTGAAGGAAGCTGATTGCACAAGTCAGAGAGAATCAACGATTCACAGACGCAGCCATAAGCTGCAGAAGTCCAGCCCAGCAGAGGGACTTAGAACCCTGAAAGGACGTGGACCCAAATCCCAAAGAAGACTCAGGAGTGGTGACGTAACTGAAGCAGGGAATATCATCTAAGTGTTTCTTGAAGATGTCTGTATATGTCGTGCCCTCTAAAGTAAAGAGTGACTGTCCTTAGAAATCCTTCTGTAAAGTCTATTTCTATTTGCTTCAAGTATCACGTGTCCCTAAAGGGATAAACTATAAATCAGAGTGCCCAGAAGGAGGGAATTCTGGGAAATAGTTTACTTAAGCTACTGAAGTGTTTTGGGGGTCAGCACTGGTCCTGGGGACTTAGGGCAACTGAGCTACAGGGTCCCTCTTTCAGATAAAAATTCTGTGCCCAAAAGTTTTGCATTGAGACCGTGGCCAGAGACCATGCTGGAGCCTATCCAGACCAAGGGACATGTAAAAGCACATGGGCCCATCTTGAGGGTGCAAACACAGCAGCCTGTTGAGTGTGCAGAACTGGGAGCTTGACTAGGGCTGTGGCACAAGTGTACTTTTTTTGTGGCACTAGGGAGGATAACTTTTGAGATACACTAAATGTCATCCTTCCCATCCAAGGGTGAGGAGCATGATGAAGCAGCCTGAGCCCATAATAAAGCCTTGTGCGCTGTGATAGCCGCACATCACTTGTACATTGTCCCAGTTGAGAACATCACTTTCTCGGCATCCTCACCAGCAAGAGGATAAATATGTCACTTTCTACTGAATGCCAGTTGTGTTTTTTGCCCAGGAGCTTACAGAGATATGCATCTCTCACCTCAGCCATAACCATATCTTGGCACTTCTTAATGAACTTTCCTTCCGCCTTCACAATTGTCTGCAGGAACTTTATGTACTGGACATTTCTGCCATGAGTTTCAATACAGTGGACAAAGTGCTGAACGACTCGCTCATTAATCTCACTGCAAAGCTGGAAATTGTTCATGAAAATATGTTGCATTGTTACTGCCTCCAGGATCTAATGAGGGGGAAGAAAAGAAAAGAAAAACAAACAGTCACACATACAAGTCAGGACAACTTCAATGAATTTGCAGGGAACATGACAATACAAAGAAGGAACTTCTCAGAGGAATCAACATTTCAGTACAGAGACTTGTATCCATCAGGGATACTCTTCTCCATCCACCTCCACCTCTTGCAATATAACTGAGTGCGCTAACCAGATGCTGCTCCTGCCAACATTAATGAGAACAAAGTGCTATCCATTTAACTAGTCTTGCATAAGAACTGGCCCAGAGGCCATGACAGAGGTCAGGTTGTTCCACTTTCTTACTACAAAAAAACATGGTATTAAGTTAATCACTTCTTACCCCTGGGTTAAGGAACAGGTTTATATGCTTGTGCAGCAATGCTTGGTTCTGTTGGTTCCCAGCACAGAAATTCTGTAAAAACGCATGTGCAAGTTTCATTATCTCCTGCATCCTTGTATCTTCTGCCTGTGATTGCATGACACAAATAAGATGGGATTAAAAAACAACCTAAAAGTTCACTTTCAGGTGAGCTTTGGGTGGAGCACAATACCACCTGTTCCACAGAATTTTCAGAGTCACATCTCTCTCAGTAGAAAAACAAACCTCTCTCCACTATAGACCTCCAACCAAATTAATCCACTGATATCAGATAAGAACTTGGCCCCCTTTATGATTTTAAAAGTTGTGGAGAACAAAACACAATATAAATAAGTTATGTCTTTCAGATCTGAATACGCAACATTCAAGCTTGCCAATAATGCACTTTAACCCATTGAATGTTAACCAAACATACCTAGTACATAGGGCAAACCACACATCAGGTTCTTTCCCATACCTTTGGACTTCATAGGAAGACTGCCATGAGGTCCATTACAATGGAATTCAGTATTGAGGAGCTTGAAGATGATGGTGAAGAAGAGATAGGAAGATATTGATGCAATAACAAAATTCAGCTTCTATTCACAGGAGTAAGTACTCTTTATGTCTGTGACTTAAGTCCAAGCAGCAGAATAGTTGAGAAGGTGCAACCATGTCTCTGACTTAACTGACACATAAATGCATCTCAGCTGGGAGTAACAGATAGTCAATGCAATAAAATGAGCCATATTTCTTTGATAAAAGCATTTGGCACCCAACAGTTGGTCAGTGCCCTGATTGAAATGTTTGTGGTTTGAGGTCATGCTGCAGTTCATCTCAAAAATCCAATCAGCATAACTGGCAGGCTCAGCAGAGAGGCCAAGGAGACCAACTTACTTCCACAGCCAGGTTGAGCACTAGTACATTTCTATGGTTCTATGACAGTAGGGAAAGTTACAATGCAAGTGCTCATGCTGCTTCTGAGTATAGGGGATTTCATCCCTTATGTGTTTCATTCTCCAGCATATTTCACAATTAACACAGTAAATGCTCAATTTATTTTTCCAAGGCAAAATGTTAAAAAACAACACCCCCTCCAAATCAAACCAATTTGGGGCTTCACACTAGATAATCTGTTCTGTTTTCAAACTGGGCAAGATTTTCAAGATCGCGTCCGTTCTATATCTCCCGTCTCTCTGAGGCCATTCACCTCACTCTCTGGCAACCTACTATCCTCCAATACCAAGAATGCCTAAAACCATGGCATTAATTTCTGTCATACCTACAGTCACCAGGGGGAGGCAGGAAAAAGATTCTAGCCAGCAGTTGAGTGGAGTGGCTGCATGTGATGGAAAGTCACAGTATTAAGGAGGCTAAGAACGCTGTGAATAAAACTCCAGTCACCTGCTTGATAGTGCAGAGCACTCCCTGAGGGCTAAGCTGTCTCTATACTCAGTCACTGTTTCGCTAGAAAGCTGATATTTATCATGTGTGCTTAAAATATTTGTACTGTCTTAGGGAATAGTTTACAATTCTGAGGCTATGCCTTTATTACTAAAAAGGTATTTGTTTTTTTACCAGGGGATAACTACTTTTTGTTCGCTATTCTGCTGTAAATCTTGTTGGAGAGAAGTTGCTGTCATTTTACTGCAAGGTAGCTAGGTGAGATCAACACTATACATAAGAACGGCCATACTGGGTCAGACCAAAGGTCCATCTAACCCATATCCTGTCTTCCGACAGTGGCCAATGCGAGGGAATGAACATAACCGATGACCATCAAGTCATCCCCTGTCACCTATTCCCAGCTTCTGGCAAACTATGGGGGACAGTGGGAATCTAATGCATGTTAGTTATCCTACAGTAAACACATACCTAGTTTTGGCAATGAGGTGAAAGCTTCAGGGCTTGGCTATCCGGGGACACTAAGGAAAATTAAGCCAAATTAACTGAAGGTGTGAATTAGTTAAACTGCATTAACCCCTCATTCAGAATTAAAGATAAACTGAATTAAGACCACTTTAATTCTGAATGAGTGTGTCCACACAAGGGTTTAATGCATTTTAACTAATCCACTTTTAATTCACACCTTTAGTTAGTTTGAATGAACTTTCTTGAGTGCCCCAGTACAGACAAGCTCTTGATCTGATTAACTGCAATGGACCAAGTTGGTGCTTCAGCAATTAGCTTAGAATCTTGTCTGTTGTCATCAGAAGTTTCACACTTAACCAAATACTTATATAAACCATGAGTTATTCCTAAAGAGGCAGGAATATTTACAATAGCTTCTTTGATGCCAAAGGTAACTGAAAGAACTAAAGTTTAAGGAGATCTCAGGGAGCTCTTAATATTAGTCAGCAAAACTATAAAGTAAGGAAATAGTTGTGTGAAATACCCACCTTCTCATATGGAATCTGCAGCAGCTCCAAAACCACCGTGTGAGCTCCCATGTTCCGCAGCAATCTCTGCTGCTGTTTCCGGCTTTTCCTGACCGAAGCACTTTCCTGAACACAGAGTTTGCTAAGCCGAAGCAAAATCTGGGAGAAGAAATTTGCTTTAGAACTTGGAATTTTTTGTTTTGGTTTAAATTACGTTAAGATGGAAACTTCCCTGACCTGAGCAACTCACAGTCTAATGACAGACAAGCAGACAGACACTGGGTGAATGGGAAAAGGACATGAAAAAAATCCATTTAAAACTAATTCAGGTATTTGCCAGCCAGGAGTCGAACCTAGAAACTTCTAACACTTACAAGCTACCACACACAGGCTTCTCGTTGTACATTAGTTTTAAAAGTATTAGACGATACAATGGAGCACAAGTTCCTAAAGAAAGAGGGCAGATTTAAATGAGCTTCCAGACTTTCCTGCTTCTTTTATATCCTTTATAATCATAAAAATTTGGGTTTCCATTGAAATAAGCAGCATTGATGCTAAATTTTGGAATAATCTGTTTTTGTGGAAAATATGTAACCCGCATGTTGGCTATATTCCAGATGTCTCATTGGAGTTGGGATATTCTACTACTCAGCAAATTAGAACTCAGCAAGTAATTTTCACAGTGTAAATGTGACTCAGTTTTTCCTGTTTTTTAAATTCAGACTAATATCTGAGTTGCACCATTAGTTTATACTTAAATTTAAAGAAACCAAGTCTTACCTCCTTCACCACTCGGTAATTATAGCTGCTAGTACTTTCATGTTTTTGAGACTTGCTGTGGCCTTCCTAGGGGCAAAACCAATAATCTATTAATCGATTAGAGTATTTTCTTTGATAGCTCCTATGGCTGAGAAATACGGGTATTAAACTGCATTTATAAAGACCAAAATTGACAGTTGTCACCTTACAGTTTCATGACAAGATTGAGGGTATTAACAGGGTGGATAAAAATCAATGATTTTTAAAAAATAAAATATAAAAAAAAAAATCAGATTTGTTTTATTTAAATCGGATTTTTTTGATAAAAAGCTTTTTGAGAAAAAAAAACTATCTAAAGATGGTTTTAATTAAGATACATTATAGCTCAAAGACATCTCATGGGGGGGAGGGATAGCTCAGTGGTTTGAGCATTGGCCTGCTACAACCCTGGGTTGTGAGTTCAATCCTTGAGGGGGCCACTTGGGGATCTGGGGCAAAATCAGTACTTGGTCCTGCTAGTGAAGGCAGGGGGCTGGACTCGATGACCTTTCAAGGTCCCTTCCAGTTCTAGGAGATGGGATATCTCCATTAACTGGTATCATGGAATAGGGATTATAAATTCTAATTCTATACTATGAGACAATATACTCATGTAATGTTTAAGAAAAGTTTTGTAAATGAGTTCCAATAGTTCATGGATTAGGGACCCAATCTTATGGGGATCCAGGGTCTTCTGTATAGATTATTTAGGTTAATCTTTCTATCTACAAATGGGACTCAGTGCTCAGTTTAGAAGATACCATCAGAGATGCTTAGTTTTGCCGTTCTCAAACTGTGGATTTGTCTCTCCAGAGATAACATGCTTGTTAACAGCAAAAATGTTTTTAAATAAATAAGTAAGAGGTGAGAAATAACAGACCTCAACCCTATTGTCCCTCTGCAAATTTGTGTATACAGAGTCAATCCCTTCCCTCTCTCTAAAAGTGCAAAGTTTCAAAAAATTCAGTGAATAGAAGATTGCTGGGCGCGGAATAGATCTGGACAAGGAGAAGAAGTCTGGAGATAAATGTGAGAAGGGAGGGACAGGCAGTAGAAACAAAAGTGAAACTGTTTGAACAGCATATTCCAGAAGTCTTGAGGTCTTTCTGAGTGTAGCCTTCATTGATTTGAGATCTACCATACCATTCTCTCACTGACCATAAGAGAGACCCAGTTTGGGAGTATTTTAATGAAGTTCCTCTACCTGTGGGTAAGACAGGCATGCGTGCAAAATGCAAACAGTGCAACAAAGAAATGCAAGGCCTGGTTGCCCGAATGAAACAACATCACGAGAAATGTTCCTTCTCAGGAGGAAGCTGTGTTCAAGATGATGAAAGGAACATGTCTGAACATGCAGGATCTTCAGGATGGAAAAAATTTTATTTCATATTTCTTTCATAAGGACTGCCTGTCTTCCTTCTGGACTATTCTTGAATTCTCAAGTTGAGCAAAAAATATAGTTGTTACTCTATGGTACTATCATTTTAGATGCAGTGGTGATAAAAAATAAATAGCTGAAATAGGCAGATCTTCCTGTTACAATTTAACCTTTAAAGTAGTACTAAGTGTATGGTAATAATGATTAAATAACTGCATTGATTTATTTTGTTTAGGAGAATCCATCCTCAACATACAGGATTCTGAAGACTATCCACTTTCAAGATCACCATCATTTTCTATAGTTTCAGAGTTATCTGCCAATGATAGTGTTTCAGTCCCATCATGTATGTCACATAGCCACAGTATATCACCTGTAGCAAAAAGAAAAAAAATATCCATCATCCAGAAACAGCCATAAATAAGTTTGTGATAAGAACCAGCAGATTACAAAAAGAGGTAACTGATGAAAAAATTGCCCAGTTTGTTTATGCAACAAACTCTCCTTTCCGTATGATTGAGAACCCACACTTCATTAACATGGTTCAGTCACTAAAACCAGGATACAGTCCACCCAACAGAGCAGCTGTCACAGGCAAATTGCTGGATAAAGTGTATGAAAGAGAAATTGAGCAGTGTGCAAAAGGCCTAGAGGGTAAAATTGTTAACCTGAATCTTGATTGGTGAAGCAATGTCCACAATGATCCTGTTGGATGTGCTTGTGTGACAGCAGAAGAAGGGAATGTCTTCCTTACAGAAACAATTGATACATCAGGAAATGCGCACACAGCGAATACTTAAAAGAAGTAGCAGTAAAAGCTATAACAAACTGTGAAAAAAAAAATTCAAATGTCTAGTATGCAGCTTGGTCACAGACAATGCTACAAATGTATCCAAGATGAGAAGAAATTATTTCGAAGAGAGTGAAGAGAGTCCCAAGCTAATAACATATGGTTGCAGTGCCCATTTGATGCACCTCCTAGCCAAAGAATTCAGTGTTCCAGAAATAAAGGCTAATGTTGTTGAAATTGCAAAATACTTCCATAACAGCCACTTTGCAGCAGCTGTTCTGAAAAAAGTGGGAGGAACCAAACTAACTCTCCCACAAGACGTGCGATGGAACTCAGTAGTGGACTGTTTTGAGCACTATATAAAGCATTTGCCTAATCTGATGACTGTTTGTGAACAAAATCGTGAAAAAATAGATGGCACTGTCACAGCCAAAGTTCTCAACATTGGGCTTAAGAGAAATGTTGAACACATGCTGAGTACCCTGAAGCCTATTTCTGTAGCATTGAACAAAATGCAGGGAAATAGCTGTTTTATTGCTGATGCTGTTGAAATTTGGAAGGAACTGAGTGAGATCTTAAAAAAAGAAATATGCAATGACAGAGTTAAATTACAAGCATTAAAAAAATGAATGGGACAAACATGATCTCCACCTCATTTTCTTGCAAATATTCTCAATACTCGGTACCAGGGTCAAACCTTAACTGCTGAAGAAGAGGAGTTGGCTATGACAGACATCCAGCAATCAGCCCTCCATAATGCCAACTATAATAAACTTCAGAGCTAAGGGTGAAATATGTGTTTGCTGATGATGTTTTAAAGAAAAATCACACCAGTGAACTGATGGACGTCACTTAAGCACTTGGATTCAGAGACGGTTGAAGTGATAGTCTCATTTTTAACATCAGTAGCTTCTTCTGCCAGTGTAGAAAAAATATTTTCTTCCTTTGGACTAATTCATTCCAAATTGAGAAATTGTTTGGGACCTGAAAAAGCAGGAAAGCTTGTTTTTCTTTTCCAGATTATGAACAAACAGGAAAATGAAGGTGAAGACGACTGAGTTAGCTGCAGAAGCCAATATTTTAAGTTTATCATGTTGACCTGACTGACACAGTCTATTTAATTTTTGGTTTTTCATTTCACTATTTTAGTTAAAAACAATTTTAACAAAAACAAACCTGATTTTAAAAAACTTAAACGTTTAACTACATTCAAAAATGTATATGCTTGTTTTGTTTAAATATTATATGTTTGCTGTTGAAGAAAAAAATCCAAAATCCACAACGTTGTTGTTTTAGTTAAATAAAACAATTTAAATGTCTGTCTGGTGATGTTCTCCTCCTAATACAGCATGGCAAGAAAATCCTCCAAATATTAATCATTAACCTGTTGAATTGGAGATAGATCACCTCCCAGTGACTTCATAAATATCTGCTTCAATTACCTTTGGTAAATAAAATAACCAAACAATCATTCATTTTCTGATACAGCTGTAAAGCTAATCTGAAAAGTTTTCAAAATAAATCATTTAAAATGTATAGTGTGTACCTTCTAAAAATGAAACCTACATCTATCACTGAGTTGTGAAGAATATGTATTAAGGTTATAACAACCAATACGAATGAACTTTTATGTAGAAATCCACGATTAAATCGAGTCTTCCTGACTAGTGATTTAAATCAATTTGATTTAAATCAAATCCACCCTGGGTATTAAAAAGTGCTTTTGTGTTAAGTCACACTAATCTCTCTGCCAGAGTACAAGGGTAGAGTGTTTTTACAAAACAGTAACATCCTATCCCCTCTTTATCAGTTGTCACACTCTGTCTGCAGTCATGCATTCCCCACAACATACCTCTCTCTCCACTATTATTCAACTGAAATTATATTAATTCTGTAGAGCAGATTTTGGGTTCTATCTGTATGAAAGGCAATGAGTAACTTATTCTTATTGACCACTAACAATAGCTATTCACATCCACATACTGTTAACTCCCATCACTACCCACCTCTGCCTTATATTTGACTGAATCTCTGGCTTGCTGTAAACAGCGGAGTTAGGTCGACCTAACTATGACAGTGTCTACACTACAGCCTTGTTCCACTGATGTAAATGCCCTACTACACCGACATAACTCCACCTCCATGAGAGACTCAGGGCTTATATCGGTGTAGGTAGGGCGACCCAGTGTCCATGTAGATGTTGCCTTACTTACATCAGCTGTTGGCTGTCTTGTCAATTTCATGGCTCCACTGGAAAACTGGGTTTCCAGCTCCGTAGCCCGGCAGCTGACTGGACTCCAGGTGTGGATCTTCCCACCAGAGGTGAGAAGCCTCAAGTGCCCCCCCACCCCGCACTCCAAGCTGGGAGCGAAGAGGCAAGAGCCAGGGTGCAGCTGGGCTCGCGTCAGGGAGCTGTGAGCCCTGGTTCTCAGCCCCCACACTGCTTCTTAAATATGGTACAGACATTATTTACCCAAATGGATATTCCAATAGTTCACATAAATTGACTACCAAGATGCATGGGCTTACCTCCTTTTTCTTATGTTCGTTTTCACCTGGTGCTCCATCCATAGTCTCATCAGGACCCTGGCCTTTGTAAACCCAAAGTTCTGATTTTTCCACAATAGACCTCAATTGGTCCAAATCTTGTTTTATCTGCTTATAGTTGTCAACATCTTGGCTGGTAACAAGCAGTTGAACCTTATATGAATGCAATCCATTAGTTGCACAGAGATTTTAAAACTTGCAACACATGCATGCAGAAAGGGGACATACACATAATAGCCACACATACCTGTTTAAATGCTTGAAGAACTTCTTGTCTCTGACTAAAATGCCTGAAGAGTAGCTGAAGTGCCCCAGATACTAGTGGAGGGTAATCGTGCATGGTTAAGTGGAGCAAAACTCTAAGGAAAGTCCTGCCGCCATGATCATCCAAATCTAATGGGGTGTTCTCGTCACTGAAAAGAACCAAATGCAGAGTAAACTAACTTCTCCCCCACCTTAATAAAACAACCAACTTTTTGTATACAGGAAATTATTGCAGCTGCATTTATAATTTTGCTATGGAAACCACATCAAAAATTAGAGCAATCTGGGGCTCTCATTTGCTGTTGGCTTTGAACAAGTTAGGGACAACAGTAGCACTATCCTCTGTTGGATGGAACGTCAGATCTGCTCAAGTGTTCCAGTTTGTCATTGATCTGCCCTCCAGTGGCAGGAGGCTTGAAGAGATGATATAAGCAATACTACTAGTCCCTGCTAAATGGAACACAAAGTCCTAGACTCCTGGGTATTCTGTGCTGAATGCTGTGTGTATGCAGTTAGTTGAGCATGGCCAAAATATCAGTAGAACCAGAAGTCTCATACTCAAGACTTGTGAGACTCATCTAGGCTGTAAGTAAAATTCTCCTCAGATCTACACATCAATCTCAAGCACGCTCTCTCACATGCAAGAGCAGAGCAGAATCATGAAGTGATTACACTTGCATGAAAATCTTCTACTTGGAGAAATCCCTGCTTTTTGATTTCTTTGCTTTCCTAGCTTGAAGAAAGGCTTTAACTCTTTTCTTGGCTTTTAATCCTAAAGGACATTACTGTTTAATCGAGAGAGCACCTTTATATCCAATGGATTTTTGTACCCCCAGGTTTAAAAAGGTGACTGGAACACTCATTCTGTTACTGGGGACACGAAGCTACAAAACCTTAAATTTTATTTTGTTGAGTATGCTAGTACTTAAACTCCAGGCTATATAACAAACAGAAGAGCCTCACGTGTAAGAAAACAGGTCACAGGAAAGTGAGTTGGGTGGAAACATAGGAAACAAGTATGATTATTTTGAGAGTCTGGTAGATTTCCAGAACATGCTGAGCCTAGATGCAATTTAAAAATGTATAAAACAGAAATTTAAAACATTTACTTCTATTGGTGAACAATTACATTTAAAAATTCCTTTTTGGAGAAGAGTCTTAAATTCCATCAAAGATATTCTGTCAAAACAAAAGTTTTCAAGCAACTATGTCCATAGACGTACTAATGAAGAGATACTTTCCTTCCGCCAAAGATCCCTTCAGCTTGTTCTTCAATATGTTCAAAGTCTAGGGCTCCTGGAAAGTAGAAATACGCACATAAGATTATTGTGTCAGAGATACAAACTGTAGCTGTTCTGGCAGCCTAAAGAAATCTTAAGTTGTAAGTGGTAACACAAATTTAGCAGAATGGACCAATATGAGCTGAATAGTATGTTGATTGATGCTGTCTGAGAAACTAATGTAAGACATTTCTTAATGATCTCTATTCACCAGTTAAACTACTGAACCACTTCACAGATAGCCATGTTTCTTCCTCCATCACTGATTTTTAGCTTATACTTTCAGTAGCTGCTTCAGAGCAAAGCATTGATGGGAATTAGTGTCTGACTTGATGGGCCACCATCGACCCCAGGAAATGCCCTGCATTTCTGTTATTAATTGACAGCTTTAAGCAATTAAACCCTTGATGACAGGAATCACTTTCTAACATCACCAAGGCCTTTGCCCCTCACAGCAGGAGGTATGTGCCAGAAGGTTAACAAGAATTATTATTCTAGAATAAAAAGATACGAGGCAAACAATATCTGCCATATTCTTAGAAAATTTCCCAATTGAACACTGCTTCCTGGGAAATAAATATTGAAGTTTTTTCCTCTCTGCTATTCCCCAATCTCACTTTTTCTGACTGGGAATACCTAGAAAGCTTAGTCAGGTCTAGGTCCCATTGTGCTAGTCATGGTACAGACACAGAGTAAATGGCAGTCCCTGCTTTTTGGCAAGGAAATAGCTAAAAAGTTTTAGCTAGAATCTTAGTAATTAGAGGATATGTCAATTAGATCACCTAGCCCACCCCACTGCCTGCAGAGGCTGGTGAAGCCTCATCTCAGGTAACCATTTTGCTCGCACAGGGCTGGATTTATGAGGTGCTAAGCATTAACAGCTCTCATTGAAGTCAGTAGGAGCTGAAGGAACTCTGCATCTTGCAAGATAGGGTCCTTGACATCTTACTTTAATTCTGGCCTCCAGATTCATGTTCCGCGTTATAACAGGGCCCTGATTCAATCTCTCTTGTGAGCAGTGGGCACAGCAAGGGGAAGATACATCTGTCTGAGAACTATTTACACTCTTTCACTTTAAATTCACATTGATTATAACAAGTACATAGATCTGCACTGCTTCAACTCAAGGGGAGTTCTAAGCAGCCTAACTACAAAGGCCCAGACCAGAAGCCTGTCATTCTACCCTCCAGTCCAAGAGCAAGAGACACTACAAGAGCAAGAGACTGGAGTGGAAACTAAAATATTTGTTCTCTTGCGGTGCGGAGAAGTTACACATCTAAAACCTCTCTGGCATCTAGAGAACAGATCCTCAAGTTGATTTAAAAAATCCTATTTTCAGCACAATAAGTCACACAGATCAAATATAAATACTTTAGTTTAGGACTTCTCAAGCCCTAAGTGTTTCAGATTCTGGCTACAGGACATCACCTCTCTCCCTAGGTGATACCACAGCAGTTTAGCAACATCTGAGGGGCACAAGTTTTCAGCATTGTGGTTTTAATCAGAAGAGACCCAGTGGGGGGGGCCTTTGCTGTACAACTTCTTTCCCACTTTGGTCCACCAAAATTCAGATTTAGAGACCTCCAGGAAAATCTGCAAGACTCACCTTTTTTCCCAGGATTTGTTTTGGGAGGAGGTAGATTGGGTTGGAGGTTATTTTGCTGGGGTAGTGGTCAGGTAGATTGTGGATCACTTTAACTTTGTTTGAAAATAACAAGGCAAGTCCTTGTTTGGGGCCATGATAAATCAATTTTCGAAATGCATTTTAAAGGAATTTTGTAATGCTCCTAGAGACGGAGACGGGTACAATTACTTAATTCATGGCAACAAGAGGCAGTGACAACAATTCTAGTTTTTGCTCTACGTGGAAAAGATATTCAATGTAATTGTCACACTTGGAACCTGATTTAGCAATGTTCCTGACTTCAGTGGGGCCACTCATGTGCCTAAAGTCAAGCATGAGCTGGAGTACATTGCTGAATCAGGACTTCGATCATTAAGGCACCCCCACCATTTCTTTAAAAAGCTTTTTATGAAATAACTAACCTGGTACATTAGTTGGGGCCTCTTGGTTACTGCTTCCAGTAGGTGATTCACAGGTCTGTGCATTGCTTTCATCGAACTCGCATTTAAATATACACAGTAGGCACGAGATTCTGTAATCCAACCTCACATTCAAAATAAACTGATGATTCAAAGTTTTAAAAAAATGGAAATAGACATGTTATTTTTACATCACGTCTCTATACCTCTCAAGACTGTAACACTGCACTCTGTGTAAACTAACAGCTGAGATCCACATACTCAGAAAACTGCAGATTTTACTATGAAGGGAGGGGAATGCACCAAAATCCCTTTTTTAAGTAATCCAAAATTCAGTACTTTGGGGGTTTTTATTTTAAAAGATTCTATTTTAAAAGATTCGACTACAAGCATAACCAAATGTATAAGGTCAATTTAAAGAACCATGAATGCAAAAATATCTAAGAAAGATTCAATGGGTACTTCTATGCACCTCTTTCCTCCCACCCATTACTGGAGTACCTGAGTGCTTGACAATCTAATGTATTTATCCTCACAACACCCCTGTGATGCATAGGCATTGGTTTCAATCCCATCGACTGTCAATGGAATTCAGACTCAGAAGTGCCAAAATTCCTTCGGAAAATGAAATGTAGGCTCCTAAATCAGTCAGGCATTCTTAAACTGGGCACAACGACATTGAAATAGCTTTAAAAATCTGGGCCAAACCAAATTGCCAAAGGTCATGCTTGAAGCTTATGACAGAGCAGGGAATCAAACCCAGTTCTTCTGACACACAGGTTAGTGCCCTAATCAACGTACCACACTTCCTTTGTAGATGTGTCATAAGGTTTAAATAAAACATGTAGTATAAACCAATCATTGGTTAAGAGTTCAGTCAGTACTAACAGAAACAGGCAAACATGAACTTTGATATCCTGTTTTACAACATTAACATCTTACTGCTCCCTTGGGGAGAGATGTACCATCCAAAGAGTGTCTCGTATCATCCCAACGTAAGAAGATATATTTACTTTCATCATTAGTCATGTATTTTGGCAGGGATAAATATTGCTACATTTGCCCCATATTTAATAAATTCTGGTTTTAAAACCTTAAATTTATGTCTTCTCAACTGTTTAGTCATCAAAACATCTTTACAAGCATGGATACATTTTTCTTGATTTTACCCCTCCCCTTTTAACAGGGAAAAGTAAGAGACAAACAAAGGACAAAGCCTCTCCTTATGCCTTTTTAAATGTTTTAAACCCCTCAATCAATGTTAAAATTATTCTATCTTAAAAAACAAAAACAAAAACAAAAAAAACCCACACCTTTAAAAATTAAATCCCCCAAATTAATAGAACAACTTTGAGTCTGGACATCTAAACTTTCTACCTCAAGATCTGAATTATAAGTAATCTACTTTCCTGTATAATTATATATTTTATTCAAGAATCCTATACAATTTTTATTAATTTAACTCAGTTTCTAATTTCCCTGTTCCATTATGACAGACTGCATGATCATGTCCAATATATTGCTCTACTTTAACAATTCCTGCAAAAATGGGGTCAAATTTTGTTACCCATGTTTTTCAATAATGTTGTCTAAAGTAACAAGAGAATCTACCATCAAACGCCCCATTCCAGCCCATAAAAGTGATATTTATCTTTAATCAGGTTTATAAATTGTGATGTTTCATTTTATCCCACTGCAAGCCTTCCGTACACACTGTTTCTTCCATATAAACACAAAGCCAGTCCCTCACCTCGCTACACAGAGGACCACTGGTGGCTCAAGCAAACTCAATGAAAACTCCTTATGTGTAGCTTTACTGCTGTTTGGCATTCTTTTACCCAGCAGAGGGTACCAGCAGCATTTAGGCCTATGTGAATTAGACATTAAAATCACCATAAGGGGGACTGTTCTCCTTTCTGTCTATAAAGGGCCTCTGCTCACTTTTGAAGCATTATCATTACCACAACATTATATCTGGCGGAGGGGGGCTGAAATCACCTTTATGGCTTCATGGTATCAGTGGCTTATAATCAAGGCTGTTAGGAAAATGTAGTGACCAGCCAAATGTGTTTTATTCTATATGCAGGACACTTCCCCTGCTGTAGAGTTATCAAACAAAGGCAGTTTACCTAGCCATCCACAGTAAGATACCCTAGAAAATTACAAGAAGTTGTTTGATGGGGCAGGCCAGGGGAATAGTAACTATCCTCTTAAGGCAGCCAGCCCTATAAAAATTATTAACTGTTAAATAGCACGGTAAGTGGCTGAAGACCTGCTATGCCAGAAAGATGGAACGTTGACCTTTAGTTCAGCTCTGAGTCACCCATGTGCACAACTAACAACTCCCATCCAGAAGAAAATCTCTGCCATAGGGGTGTGCAAAAAGTGTTTCACAGGGTTAGGTGTTTGCCTCTGCAACACCTTCTAAGCATGAGAAGACTATCCCGGCAGCAATGGACTGGAAGGGACCGTCTCCTCCTAAGCACTCCCTAACATCTAGTTAAGATGTAGTGTCAGATGCAAGCATCCCAACACAGGATTTGAGACCCCACCTAACTCTATATTCCACTGCATCTCTAGTACCTGAAGTATTTCGATGATTTTCAGCTTGGTGTCCATTACCAGGATATCTTCTTTCTCTGGTTCACTCTGTTTGACATTACCCTCAGGAGCAGTAGCAAGTGGAGTAAGGGGCAAGAATCCACCACCTCTGAGTACAACCTGGGTCATCAGCTCACCAACCCCATGAATTGATCTCATCACATTGCTCCCTTCAGAGAGGCAGGTAAAAACACAGTAAGAATAAGATAACTGCACTTTGAATGCACCGAGAGGATAAGCGGCCATTCACAGCTCATGAAAATCAATCCGGCTTCATACGAAACAAAGGGAATATTTTCAAAAAGACGCAAAGGGCAGTGAGGCACCTAACCTCCTTTAGAAATCTTCCCCTTAGATTCGTCTCCCAATTACCGCTTAGCTTTTATAGGAAACCACCAAAAATTCAGTGGATAAAAGGGAAAATGTTGATGCCCATTTCATGTATTCAGATAAAATTAATGAGGCCAAGAAATCCTCCACTTCCACTCAGGAGTTCCCCAAATAATTTTTTCAGTCTTACCTTTACTTTCTTCTCCTTTTGCCATTTTGGTAATGGGGAAGATAGTAGCAATATGCACGCAGTCTAATATAGCCAGGAGGATTTTGGTTAGTCTTAGGAGGTCACAGAAGTTGTAGAAACCAAAATATATCAGGTTTCTGGCTAAGTTCACAACCTATTAAAAATGAAAGTATTGATCAAAACCCTTATTTTTGCCACAAAAACTCAGTTTGTTTCTTGACTTTTAGTTGCACTTATGAACTTAATTGACCATTTGTCTGACCCACTCTTTATAAGCAAATTCCATTATGTTTTATAGTTCTTTATTCTAGTAATCAAAATAAGTTTGCTAATATATATCTACAGGTATATTTACATGTCCAGGATTGCAAGACTTCTGATACCTACTGTAGCTATTCTATAGCAAAAAGCATGATATATTTGTTGACGTGTGGCAGTAAATAAAGTAAGATAGAACTTCTTTGGGCTTGACCTATAAATGCACATTTTACATAACAGTTATTACATCAATTGGTAACCATTAAACAGACTTTCACCAGAGGGAGTTTTCAAAGGACTACATATCTAGTCAAATCTTTAATACCGCCAAGAACTGGAATTTCCCTACAAGACCCAAAAATATACTGTTTCTTGAACTGTGCAAATAACTTTTACCAAATAATTTCTATGCCTAATGTAGCCTCTTTTTTCTGCGAGTAGGAAGCGAATCCCTCAAATGTATTTGTTATTCAAAAGTACTGAATGATTTTTCTTTAGCTATGGATTATTTACGAAACATTGCCCTGCATATTCATGACAGGTTATTCAAGCTGTTTGTTGTAACTGGTAAGGTAAACTATATGATTGATATTCTACTGTTCTCTTACTGGATGAGTGTACAACCGCTTCATGCACAAACACTTGTGCATGCAAACAAAGTCTGGGTTCCACAAACATTTGTGCCACTAAAACCTGATCTTACAAATCAAAGTGGGCACAAAAGTGAACATAACTACTGCAAATTATTTTTAAAATACAAGTGAGTATTTATTTATCCCACATTAGCACCTATTCTTGCAAACAGCTACTGACTTCAATGGGTTGTTTACATGAGTAACGATTACTCACAAGGAGAAGGGAGTTGCTGAAGGTTAGTACTCACATGTAACCTCCTCCAATTCAACTTGTATTAAAGGCAACGTTGTTTTACTTTAGAAAAAGAGATTAAAAATAAAAATGGAATAATTACCTCAAAAGTGAGTTTGTTTTTCTCTTTATCAGAGAAAGGGAACCTCTGACACACCACATCTCTTAAATACTCCTCCACAAATTCCATGGTTTGTGCAAATCTCTCCTTAATTTCATCTTTGGAAGTTCCACTGCTGTCATAGCTGGAGGGGAAAAAATTAAACTTGAATGTAAAATGCACATAAATAGAAATTTTTTTTAATCCAAGTTTCTCAAGATCTAAATAAGGTTAAGGCTGTTAAACAATTTATCCCAAATCAAGGAGACAGGAAGCTGAGACCATAATTTCCTGGCTTTTGCTGCTTTGTCCCATATGCTCACTTTGCACTATTTTAAAAATATGTGAAAAAGCAAGGTTTGTACCAATAAAAAGAAAGAAAGGAGGAAAAACATTTTTCTAATGGAAATGGTGACAAGTGACATACAGCAGCAAGACAGCAGATGTGACCATGAAGTGCTAACTCCGGATACAAACGGGATTTTTTTCTGTAAGTAAAAACATTTAAACTATTTTATTTTTTTAAACATACATTCTAGATCAGTTTTTAAAGAAAAATCCACAATTAGGAATATGGATGGTAGTGGAAATCTTTTTTTAAAATTATGTATTATTGGAAATAGTTTGCCTGACTTGAGCACTTATTTTTCCCTTTAGCTTTTAAATCTGAAGATGCTCTATTGGATTTCCTTCAGAAAATTAACCTAGGGGGAGGAAAGTTTAGCAGTGAAGTACTGCAATGAAGCAGTAGAGATTTAGAGACCCCAACTGAACAGAATACGAAGTGTTTATTCCCTGGGACTGGAAAAAACGAATAAAAATCAAGTTAATTTTTATCTTTTAAAATATCATCTTGCTTGGAACATCTGAACACATTAAAGTATTTTAAAAATTATTTCTATTACAATAGTAACTACAGGGCACAACCGAAAGATCGGAATCCCTCTGTGCTAGGTCCTGTACCAAAAGATAGTCCCCTGCCCTGAAGAGCTTACACCCTGATTAGACAAGACACACAAGATGTGAGAGGAAACAAAGGCACAAAGATTTAAGTGACTTGCCTAGGTCACGCAGCAAGTTATTGGTAAAGCCAGGAATAGAACACAGGTGTCTCAAATCCCCACCCAGTGCACTATCCACTGGACCACGTTGCCTCTTGGGGAAAATAAAACGCAGCAACCATACAAAATAATTGAGCTTTTCTACTCAATGAAGTTCTTCTCAGCAAGTGTCTCCACAGACACGTTTTTAATACCACCAGGCTTCAATACCAATAATAGACTAGTGAGATAGCACCAGTAAAGAAGTAAAAAAGATGACTTATTAGTTTAGGGTTTGTTTGTTTTTAAATTAAAAAACTATTTCATTTCCTGCTCTTTCATACCTCTCCATCAAGTACTTACTCATCAATAGCAATTTCAGAAGGTATCTCAGACCACAGACGAGCATACTTCACTGGCGTTACTTGTTCTTGGGGATCACGGTCAACATGCATATGCAGCATCAGCCGGCAGAACGATGCTCTCAGATCATATGGTAGGTTTTCGTCAGACATACAACGAAGAATGAGATCCACATCCAACTGGCCAGATATTTCATTTATGGCCAAGTACTGTCGATCCAGGCACATTCTAGCAAAAAGATTAAGCTGGTATCTAGAAGAGAAGAAACTTACACCTTAGTTTCCAGAAGTCAATATAAGGAAAGCACCTAAAAAGGTCAACAGTGTTTAGCAATTAATGTTTTAGTTAAAAAGAAATGTTACTGATATTAATCAATAGGTACGGGATGCTCTAAAAATAGAATAAATCATTTCCCAACACAAATAAAGGTAACATAATTGTCATCTGAGGGTCGGGACAACAGCTTTCCAAAAGTCACCTAGTTTGTCACAGTGTTGTATATTTTGAAGAATGAAGCAGCACTTGGTTTTTCTTTGCTAATGCTATTTCTTATTAAATACAGAAAGATTACAGCAGCCTAGTCATTTTAGAAGTTGGCACACTTCTCACTGGCATCTCTCAAGCTACTCTTGATTGCTTAGGCAATGGAGTCAATGAGACTATTAAACTGATTAAAGTTGGACATATGCCTAAGTATTCTGCTGTACTGAGGCATCAGTCTCCATACCAATTAGTCACAGGTAGATATAACAATTGAGTTCATGTACTTTTTTTTCCTGCTCCCAAAAGATCTAGTCAACAGGAACAGAACAGGCACCTATCATTTAAATGAATGCAAATACAACAGACTCTAATAATTATTATAACCCAGCAACTAAAGTTTAAAGCACATGCAGAGTATGAGTGTTTATATAGTCCTTACCGACCTTAACTCTAAAGAAGGTGGTTTTTCAATAAAAAGATTACAAGGCATTTAATTGAATCTTATTCCTTTGTATCCTAGTCCATGGAATTTTACCTTACAGAATTGCTTCCTACTCTCTTCATTATATATACACACTTTATATATACACACTCATTGGTTTGTTATTGAAAGGTTAGAAGAAATTACTGTTAAGAGCATTTAAACAACTCTTTTTGGGAAGAACTCATAAGAATTGCATGGACTTTGCAAACAGATAAAGGAGAGAAAACAAAGTTAGAACAGGTCCACTTTGGGCCTGAAACTCTTAAGTAGTCCAAATCCAAAACATCCATTCTAATCCCTTTTAACAAGTTTACCAGATGAATTATTTAAAGTTTTTAAACACAATATGCAAGGCCAAAGTGATAAGTAGTTAAAAAGGAATTCTGGTGGTACTTTTTGCACCACAATAGCCAACGGTCTGTCAAACTATTCTCAAAAGTTTATAGCCCAGACACAGGAATTTGGTCTGAGATGGAACTTGGAATTACAATGCGCCAAGAAACTGGTGTCTAGCCAAGTCATCTGGAAGCACTGCCTCATATTAGAAGCATAGCTTAATAGTGCAAAAAGGCAAAAAAATAAAAAAAAAATAAAAAAACAAAACTTCTTGTGGGGTTTTTGCAAGTTCATATAGTCCTGAAGTTCTCACCAGGACACATCTACTAAGTCTGGAGCTCACAAATAAAGTTCTAGAAATGATCTAGAACTGTGGTGGCATCTTAGAAAGAGCTTTTTGCAGGTTACAACCAACCCTTTCCCTTTACTCTGAGTGCTAGCTCACCTTCCTTTCAACAACCCCTATTACAGCTCAGATTTTACAAGCTAAAGTTAAGATCGTCATGAAGAAAATCAAACTATTGTGGAGAAAGCCGGACTCATGAGCATCTCCGTCAGGAGAAGACTCACCACAGATATATGCTACCTCGCATACAAATGCTACCAAACTCTTACACACTTTGAACCCCACCTTATTCTGTATTTACGCTTACATTTTCTCATTGTGCTCACATTGATTACTCGACTTCTATCTGACATCAAAACACAACTTTGTGCTTCTAGTGCATTTACCATGTACAGAAAGCTTTACACCATTTTCTATTGGGTACTGAGTCTAGTGTTCTGAGTCTTTATTTGGCACTAATTAACTGATTATTATACTGAAGAGGCCTTCACCCATCCAGTTCTTATTACCCTATCAAAACCAACTACTGCACACGGTGTTAACCTGTAATAGCTGAGTATATCCCGATCTTCCTTCTGCCCTTCCTTAGCATCCTGAGCCAACTCTCTGACACTCTTACTGCGGATTTCCTTGTTGCTGTCTCGCCAGAATAGCCAAACTTCTTCCTCATCTTCTCCAACCTCCAAGGTGTTTTCTCCACTTGATACCTCTTCAAACTCAAACCGAGAAAGAACCAACCTGGCAGAAAGAAAGGGATTAAACAACAAAATAATGCAGTCCATGAGATCTTAAAATATTTTGTTTTAGGACAACTGCTGAGTTGCACAGGGGTATAACAACAGTGATTTGCATAGTCACTCAGGAGACTTGCATTCATGGTACTAGACATAGTTGGGTTTTTTTTTTTCCTCTCTCTCTCTCTCAACATGTCCACACAAAAAATCCCAAATAATGTAGGAAAAATAGAAGAGACATTTCCTTATACTACATGATGACCTTAGGTGTTCAGATACTATTGTTATGAGCATGGTATTAAAACCTAGTTAGAGCTAAGCACTGAATATCCAATGTGAACAGTAATCCACATAGACATATGGTATATTTTTGATTGGTTATAAAAGGGAATTTAATTTTGTGGCTATCTACGTGGCTGAAGAAACAAGGGTATCACCTAGGGCAAGACAAATTAATGTCCAAAAAGACTTCTATGTAGGAAGCATTGATTCAAAAAACATCTAGGATCAATCAATTTATGTATTCACCCAAACTCTTTGATTGAGCAAGTAAACTTTGATCTATTCAATATCCCACAAATGGAAAATGGAACAGAACTTCATTCTCTTTGGGTGTCAAAAACATAATTAAGTTAGAAGAATGACCTCATACCTAAAATGGTAATCAAGGTTCTTAGCATCTGGCCAAAAGAAAGGTCACTAACTACATAAGCAAGAGGCACAAATTAAACAGATCAGCAAGAGACACTGAAACCTGGCAGAGTTCTGGTAGAGAGACAAACATTAAGAAACAAGATTTTTAATCTTGTCAAACCTAGAAATAGCGCCTGCAAGGTCTTTCCTGTTTACCTAGATTTCATTTATTAATTAGCAAAGACATGTTTTACTCTTCTTGACCTCTTTTTTTCAATATTAACCTTCTCTCAATTCCACATGCCAAGTAAACCCAGCTTTATTGAAGCTAGTTGGAAATTGGTGCCTGTTATGGACACACATGCATCGTTTGGTTGTTCCCAAGAGATGAAAACTGAAATTTTGACCCGAGGTGGAATAGGCGACTATAAAAATACCAGCTTTTGCACTGCTGTGGGCATGTGCACAGCGGTCAGAGAGCTGGTTGACAATTTCTCATCAGAGTGATTCTTCTGATTAAAAATGTCCTTTTCACAAAACTGAAATTTCCTGTGAGAAATTTCTCTCTCCTTTTTTTGGGTGCCAAAAATCTGATTTTTCCTGAGGAAAATCAAAATGGCGGCTCCCCACTTGACAGGCTCGTGTCAATTTCACATTCCCTATGTGAAATAGACAAAACCTTTCCTGGAGGACGTCTAAGGCTGAGCACCAGGATGCTCTTCCGCCCTGCCACCTGGAGATGGAGAGGGGGAAATGGGGAGCTGAATGTCTGGGCTCTCTGCATCTCCAGCTCCTAGATCTGCAACAGGAGGCAGGCTCTCTTCCTGACTGGCTCCTAGAGCTGCAACAGGAGGCAGGCTCTCTTCCTGACTGGCTCCTAGAGCTGCAAGCAGAGAATTAAACAGCCAGGATAGAAGGCTTTTTTAATTTCATTTGTGAAGCTAACAAGAGCTTTCTGGGTGGACAGCAGGGAAGCCAAAAAAATTCCATTGCAATTCCCCTGAAAGGGAATTGTTCTTAAAAAGCTTTCCTGAGGAAGAATGTTATGCTTTCAATGTTTTGTTGCAGTTCAGCACCATTTTTTTTATTCAAAAATGTGAAAGTTTTCATGGGAAGAGTTTTTCATTTTTCAGAGAGCTCTAAGTTCCTAAAGGCGCTGCTGACTGCACTCAATCTACCATGGTAAACCTAAGGGCCAGGAGAACAACCAGGCTCATGGGACCTGGAACACCATCTTATACAAGTCTGCTACATAGCAAATCCCAGAATATCTGCTTATCCAGCTCAGATGAGAGAGCATTTTAGCATCTTTAGTTTAAAATGGTTCAAGACTGAAAACATGTTACATAAGACTGCAGCTTCTCTCAGAGTTATCAAGCTACCTGATGAAAATGTTAAATATCTGAAAGATGTCTAGAGTACACAGGGCTAGGAATCGATGTGGCAGTCATTTTGGTGCCTCCAACACTCATCTATCGTGTATTTAGAAAGGCCCTCACACATTCTAAGTTTGGTACTCTCTGTAGTCTTGAGGCTAGTGTTCTCAACGCTCTGATCCACCTTCCTTATACACCAACTAGAAAGCTATTCACAAATAAGTCTCAGCTTACTTCGTCTCAATGAGTATGTCTGCATTGGCTGGATTCAACACAGCTTTACAAATCAGTTCCTGTGTCACCGGAATAGACTTGTTCATGGAAACACACAAATCTGAGAGATAATCCAAAAACCTATTTGGAAATAAAAAGACAGACCACATTAAATCCCTGTCACGGTTCTTCAGTTGACTCATTCTACATTTTATAAAGAGAAAAACATTTGGACAACCAAGTTACGTTGCAAAGCAAGCGAGGCCATTGCCTTGGTGGAAAGTCATGGTCTGGCTCAGAGGCAAGAGTGGATTAAACATGCTTCCTAAATACAGAAACAAGTTGGCTGATACAGATCTCTCAGATTATGAATAAGAGAAAAAGGTAACTAAGTCCCAATACCAATCCGTTTTACCTGGGCTCCCTGTTTTTCCTCACAAGACTAACAAAAGTATCAATCTCAGCAGCCGTAATGTGCTTCTCCAGCAGTTTGCGATTGTTATGAAGCAACGCTGTAATAGTATCTTCCGCCAAAACGTCATAACCAATTTGTTTCTGCATGAAGCCGAACTGCTTGGCTATGTATTCCTGAGAAAGAAGAAGGAAAAGGTATTCTAATCTCACTTGAAATTTAAAAGGAAAAATAGTTAGTTGTTTATATCAGTATCCTAAAGAAACAGCTTGGTTAGGTTCTATGGTTTTTCTATGATTTAGGACCACACTGAAAAGCAGGGAAAAAACATAACGTAGAACAGCAGTGGACGGGTTTTATGTCTGCACAGCTACTGGGTAGGACACACCCAGCCCTATCTCCTTTTCTCTGCTCAAACTCTCAGAACATTGATAAGACTTGGTTTTAAACCGCTTGATAGTGATGGTAAAAGTTGTAGAATGTATTGAAGTCTCAATGTGCCTTCAAAATTTAAATTAAAGAACAACGCAATCCTCAGTCTTCCCCTGGATTAGACAGAGTTAATAACAATGAATCATAAATTCCTGTAAGTAATGACGCTACTTAAACTGTACCCAATCTTGGATGAACGAACACATACACCCACACCACCAGCTTTTTAGACAGGTTCTAACACATAACTAACCTGATTCTTTCTGTAATCTTGCTGCGAGTGCCTCAGCACCCTGTAGCAGAGCCTGCAAATGTGTCTGAAAGGAGCATGACGCTGGTCCCCAAGTTCCTCCAGCCTCAACATCGGCCCATCTCCACAGTCTGTAAATGGTGCTTGTAACAGCTTGAAAATCTATGGGGTTATTTTAGAAGATAAAGATTGAGACATGCTACCTAAGCTTAATGAAGGTGAGTGGGTGTACCTACACATGCCCATGCCCCCTTGTTGCTACTTTATGGCCTCTGTCTTGTCAGAACCAGAGCGTAGTTTAAATCTTGTCTACACCACCACAGCCACATGTCAATTATGAAGGCCGTCAGTTTCTCCCACATGAACTTCCATAAAGCTTATAGCTGCACACTCTGGACAAAGGAGCTCTCTCTGAAGAGGATGCGGCTGATTACTTATGTCCAACCCTAGACGCTTTTCCTTTTATCCATTGGTTCTTCCTCTTGTGGTATCTTCCAGCAATGGGACACCCATAGTTTTACACTGACCTACACTGCCAGAAGATTGCTGAAAGCTAGTAAGGCAGAAGTTGCCTTATCCCAACTAACTAGGTTCTCAGAATACAGAACAGTACAACTCTCTCCTCAGAATCTCTGTCACATGATAAAAACTCTCTTACCTGCTTTAGGATATTTTGCTCTCTCATCAGCTTTTGCCGCTCACGATTTGGTTTAGAAAATACCACTTCAAGCACATCTTGCCCAGAATTAGTTCCACCGGTAACAAAATAAACCAAATCCTCCAGCAGCTTGGTAACAGACCTATATAAAAACCAAAAGTGTTAACACAGAATCGGAACCGTCAGTTGTGAAAAGAATTAACAAAGACTGCAATGTTTCAAATGTTATTTTAAGAAGGAGATAACCCAGAGATAAGAGCATATGGGAATGGATCAACAGCTAACTGGAAACTAGTTTTCCTGGTTGATGTAGATTTATTGTTAAATAGCCACATTACAGAGGAAATGGAAATGCCATATCTTTAGTACCCCATGGCTATTGTGTAGGGATAACTCAGTGGTTTGAGCATTGGCCTGCTAAACCCAGGGTTGTGAATTCAATCCTTGAGGGGGCCACTTGGGGATTTGGGGATTTAGTTGGGGATTGGTCCTGCTTTGAGCAGGGGGTTGGACTAGATGACCTCCTGAGGTCCCTTCCAACCCTGCTATTCTATGATTGTACGGCCAGATAAGCAGATGGAGAGCCTCTTAACTCAAATAGAGGCCTACATTTTGGAAGCTTAAGGTCCTTAGTTCTATGTACCAGGCTGCATGCATTCATTACATGTAATCACAAATTCTACAGACATTGCAGGGGGTGGAGGGGGTTGCAAGAAGACATGTGTTCAGCCCTTGAAGCAAGTTAGATTAGATGTTCCCACGTTCATTTTCCAGACTGTTTCAATATAGGCACGCTATGGACAATTCCTCCCAGCCCTACAATGAATACAGATTCATAGACTTTACGGCCAGAAGGGACCATAATGATCATCTCTAGTCTGACCTCCTGCACTTTGCAGGCCACAGAACCTCACCCACTCATTCCTTTAGTAGGCCCATAACATCTGGCTGAGTTAAATCTTTATTTAAAGACTAAGTTACAGAGAATCCACCATTTACTCTAGTTTAAACCAGCATGTGACCCATGCCCCATCGTGCAGAGGAAGGTGAAAAAAACCCAGTCTCTCTGCCAATCTGGCCTGGGTGAAAATTCCTTCCTGACCCCAAATATAGCACATCAAGTTAGACCCTGAACATGCCAGACACCTGGGAAAAAATCCTCCCCCTCTAGTGTCCCATGTCCAGCTGCTGGGGATATTTCAAATTAGCAGTTGCACATGGGACATATGCCATTGTAGGCAGTCTCATCATACATCCCCCTTTAATAAAACTTATCAAGCTCAGTCTTGAAAGAAGTTAGGTTTCCCCCCGACACACTACTCCCCTTGAAAGGCTGTTACGGAACTTCACTCAATGATTAGAAACCTTTGTCTAATTTCAGATCTAAACCTTCAAAGTCACATTTTCTAAACCTCTTTCTTTCTTTTTTTTTTTTTGGTTCTCTTCTGGACTATCTCCAATTTGTCCACATATTTCCTAAAATGTGGCCCCCAGAATTGGACACAGTAATCCAGCTGAGGCCTCACTAGTGCTGAGTAGAGCAGGACAATAACCTCCCATTTCTTACATACGACACTCCTGTTAATAAACCTCAGAATGATATTAGCCTTTTTCACAACTGTTTCACATTGTTGACTCATTCAATTTATAATTCACTATAACCCCAGATCCTTTTCAGCAGTACTACCACCTAGTCAGTTATTCCCTATTTTGTAGGTGTACATTTGATTTTTCTTCCCTGAGCGAAGTACTTCGCACTAGGCTATTGAATTTCATCTTGTTGAATTCAGACCAATTCTCCAATTTGTCAAGGGCGTTTTGAATGCTAAGCCTGTTTTCCAAAGTTCTTGCAACCCCTCCCAGTTTGGTGTCACCTGCAAATGTTATAATGAAAATACTGAAAGGCATCGGACCCAGGACTGATCCCTAGGGGACCCTACTAGACACACCCTCCCAGTTTGACAGTTTTCAGGGTATAATGAACAGCCATGGATGGGGTCCACTGCTTTCTAAATGCAGGGGTTTTGGTCCATGTGATCTATATTGTGCCTGGATTCACTGGTGACGCTCCCCACAAGTCTATGTTCATACCCACTGTGATGGCATGCGGGGGAAGCAGAGTTCTCCAGTAAGTAATTAGTAGTAGATAACTACTCTTCGAGTACGGTCTTTCAACCAGCTGTAAAGCCACCTTATAGTAATTTCATCTAGACCACATCTCCATAGTTTGCTTATGAGACTGCCATGTGGGACTGTGTCAAAAGACTTAGATCACATCTACTGCTTCCCTCCATCCACTAGGCCAATAACCCTGTCAAAGATTTGTTCCTGACAAATCCATGCTAGCTATTCCTTATAATTCCATCATCATCCATATGCTTACAACATGATTTTTAATAATTTGTTCCACTCTCTTTCCAGTTATCGAAGTTAGGCTGACTGGTCTGTATTTCCTGAGGTCCTCTTTGTTCTTTCAAATACATGGGGAAGAAGAAACTAACTTCAGAATAGGGATTTTCACAGATTTACATGAGTAAAGGCAGCAGCCCTATCACTACAAGAGGCTTGCTTCTTGAGTCCCCTACCTTCTTTCGTTCTGGGTGATCGTTCCCTTTTCCAACTTGCCAGCAATGGAACCCAACACCTTGCTTGCATCGTTGGCAAAGTCCAAGTCCCGAACTTCTGCAGGAGAAACTGGTACTATAGCAAAAGCTTCTTTGTCCTCTTTTACTGGAGAGGTACCAATCTAAAACCCAAGGTAATTTTAGTATCACACCAAGACACAAAGGGGCAAAGCAGCAGTAAAGTAACTCAGTAATATTAAGACATGAAAGAAACCACAGTCCTAACAACAGTTGAGATTAGAAACAGCAGTACAAGATTTTTTGATAGAATATGAAGTTTAAGAACTAAACACTTCAATGCAAATCTAGAGTTCTCCAATTCTCAAGACTTTTGCAGTCACAAACCAGATGAGACTGCAAAAGCATTGCCACAAACACCCAAAAGACATGCTGCTCCTGATGATTACATTATATAGAAAACTAAAAAACCCAATTACTCAACTAATGTTAGTGCTTAATTTTTTCATTACAATACTCTGTACAGGTAGTCTTCGTTAATATTGCACTGTTATTTTTAGGTATTTTTATTTAAGTATTTTTAGGAAAACACAGAAGACAAAGGATGGATTTGTTAAAGTTAGGGGACTTACTTTAAGCATCACAGGTTTCTCTTCTTCTTTATCAATTGGGATATTGGTGCTATGAACCCAGGTGTTAGTACACAGGTGTCTAAGCCTGACATAGGAGTTCCTACAACACAGTCAATAATTGTAACAATGAGACAGTTTCCAAGACATGTAATTGACCAGTTATCCTAGGTGTGTACAACTTTCAAGTTGTTGGCAGGAAAGACTAGGGTGACCAGATAACTTCAAAATATCAGGACCGCCGCAGGGGGGAAGCGCCTTTTCAATTGTTATACTCACCGTGTCCGGGTCGTCGTCGGCACTCCAGCAGCGAGTCCTTCAGTCACTGACGGTCTTCGGCGGCGGGTAATAAATCTTGCCGCCAAAGAAAGAAGTACCCGCGGCCGAAGATCGTCAGTGACTGAAGGACCCGCCGCCGAATTACCGCCAAAGACATGGACGTGCCGGGTGAGTGTAACAACTGAAAAGGCGCTTCCCCTGCCTCTCACCGCCACCTAAGAAAAAAAAAAAAAAAAAAACGGGCCACCGCGCCCGAAACAAAATGTCGGGACAAATGGCGTCCTGACCCTACTTCAGTTGGGATGCGGGACAAACTGCTCAATATCAGGACAGTCCCAATTTTATCGGGACATCTGGTCACCCTAGGAAAGACCAATAGGAGGCAGATTATTTTCTGCTAGAAACAGGGTGTCCCATAACTAGAATAAAGCTTTTCAAAGTAGCAACACAGGTTAAAACTCTTCAGTTTTTTCTATATTGTGAACTCAACTCCAAAGTGCATCTATATCTTAACACACTGCAGCTCGACTTCTAACAATTCCTGTGCATAAATGGGAAAGGAAAAGCTACCCGAAAGCAGTACTTATTCTTTGAAAACCATTTGACTATTTACCATGCACAATCTATAACCTGCTCAAGTGTCACAGAAAGTAAATTAGCAAAGTCTTTGTTACAATAAGAAATTGTTCCCATAAAAAAAAAAAAAGAAAAGTTGCCACACAGGGTACACTTACCTCACACACACACACACACACACACACACACACACACACACGCCCTCTCTATGCCCAATATATTTATTTAATAGTATGAAGCAGCAAAGACTAGAGGACAGTCAGCAGTTCTTTTACCTCAGAAGACATTGGTTTAAATTTCTGTTAGGTCAAAAGTTTCCATAAATTTGGTGGCCCCAACCTAATCCACAGCTCAGATCAAAAACCACAACCAGGGACATCATGCCAATCTACTGACAGACTAAGAACTAGAACAGCAGGGCAAACCAGGAAGAATTAAGCTAGCCTAGCATTGATTTGTGGCTTAAAAACTCACGCTCTGTTAAGGTGGCTCACTTTTAGTGACTAACACTAATATTCTGCGATAATTTGCAATAAAACCAACAAGTTCAAGTTTCCTCACACAAACTTGAAAGGTATGCCTACACCGCAGCTCAGCGGTGTGATTCCCAGCATGGGTAGGCAGACTTGTGCGAGTGCCTCTTGAGCTAGCATGCTAATACCAGCAGTTTGGACATTGTGACACAGGCAGTAGCGTGGGCTAGCCACCCGAGCTCAGACCCAGGGGGATCAGGTTTGGACTCAGGTGGCTAGCCCAAGCCACTGCCCGGGTCACAATGTCCACACTGCTATTTTTAGCGTGCTAACTCAAGAGGAGCTAGCACGCGTCTGCCTGCCTGTGCTGGGAACCACACCTCCCAGCTGCAGTGTAGACATACTCTAGAAGTTTTATGCCTAAAGGTAGAGTCACATCAATAGTTTTTACACCGTCTCAAGAAACTTCCTAGTCACAGAGACCCTGAAGCCTAACTATAGAAAAAAGCTGACACTGTTCAAGTTTTTAAGTTCTACATGTCTGTGACAACTGATGACCATCGTGGAATAATTTTATCCCTAGTGTTGGCTTCAGAAAGGCTTTACTCCTATTGGTTTCCTCTAGATCTCTGCTTTGCATTTACCACACAAAGTACAATGCAAGAGAGTGGCTACAAAGGAAGTATTAGCCATCACATAACTGTACCTGTACAACTGCTGAAAGCCATACAAGACACTCACTGAAAGGAACTCAATTTAGTTTACTAAATAGGACATGTGGAGTCCATTGTTCTTCAGATCAGAATCAATCAGTTTAGACAAAATGCAAATTATTTTTTTAAAAAGCAGATTACTTGGTCTTTGGAGCACGCAACGTGTCTGAACTAAGTTTGTAATGCATGTAGTGAATAAATAGCGCCATTAAAATGTTTGATTAGTAGAAAAAATAACACTGTTGAGTATGAGGAGCAATATGCAGAATTCACACACCTAACCCTTTAGCAATATAGATAGAATGTGAACATGAATTCAGGAGACTTGAGTTCTATCCCTGGCTCTGGCACTGGCCAGCTGCAGGACCTTGGGTAAATCACTTCCACTCTGTGCCTCAGTTTCCCCCGCTGTAATGTGGGGATAATGATATTGCCATCTCCTTTGTAAACTGCTTAGAGATGTACTGATTAAGTGCTATGTAACTGCTAGGTATTATTACTATTAATACCTTTAATTAACTTGAAAGAGAAACAAACAGTGAAAAAATTTTCTGTAATCTTAAAAATAAATGTTAGAGTGTCTATCTTTCAACAGCTAGTGGTTCTAGTAGCAACAACATCCAAGGAGAATATTCAACTCAAACTGGGTACTGTTGTAAGCCTGTAAGAAGCGAGAACCTGTTGCATTTAACATCATACCTCGGGACAAGGCTATCTCCGCCTCGCAAAGTGGTGGGGTCCAGCTCAAAGATAGAGGAGATATCGTTTCCTTCAGGTACGGACACCAAAGAGTAAGCCATCTTCTCCTGAGCATTATGCAACCCTCTTCTGGATGCATCCTGGTCAGGATCTGTCTACAGAAAGAATCCAATCAAATGAAGTCAGAAATGCTATCCCAAGAACGGTCAGACCAGCGTGAAAAGCCAAGCATTATATCAATGAGTTTCATAATTTGTGCACACAAATATCAACCTCTCCAGGTGCTGGTCCTGGCAGAAGCTCCAGCTGTGCTTTAGGACAGAAATAAAACTGACAGTTAACTGCTTTTGCCAAACACATTTCTTCACTTTTGTCTGCTGTTGGTAACTTTTGAGCATCTCTGAGTTATAATGTAATAATTCCTAAGTTATCCTGTGTCTATGTCTTTTTACATTAAGTGCCAGAAAATACACTCAAATTGCCAAAACATTCACCTCACAATGCACTGAAAACCCAGATTAGCTTCAGACTCTGCTGCAGATGATCCATGTCTCACAAGAGCCTTACCCTAAAGACTGCTGCTGAAGGGCTCCAGAAGTCTACCTGATTACTATAACTTTAAATAAATATTTTGTAAGCAGCAAAAATGACAGCTGGCAATTCTATTTCGCAGTCACGTTGTCAATATCAACAGTATCTAATAGATTCCAACAGCAGAAACAGAATTATACTTGTCAGTCACTGACAAAAAAATGAAAGGTAACCAAGAAGTTAGCCAGCTGGTAGTTTTCACCTCAGTTCATGGCATTTATACTTGCACATTCAAATGTGTCCAATGCACAACAAAAAAAACAAGGCAACAATATCTGCTAGCACAATATTAAGTGTTGACCAGGTTCATACTTTCATTAATGAATTCAGCTTTATAAATGCATTGAGACATGAAATCACCAACATTTGTTAAATGAACAAGAACTTGGATGACTAAAGTAGAAAGCGACAAAGAGTCCTGTGGCACCTTATAGACTAACAGAAGTATTGGAGCATAAGCTTTCGTGGGTGAATACCCACTTCATCAGATGCATGTGGTGGAAATTTCCAGAGGCAGGTATAAATATGCAGGCAAGAATCAGTCTAGAGATAACGAGGTTAGTTAAATCAGGGAGGATGAGGCCCTCTTCTAGCAGTTGAGGTGTGAACACCAAGGGAGGAGAAACTGCTTTTGTAGTTGGCTAGCCATTCACAGTCTTTGTTTAATCCTGAGCTGATGGTGTCAAATTTGCAAACAAACTGAAGTTCAGCAGTTTCTCTTTGGAGTCTGGTCCTGAAGTTTTTTTGCTGCAGGATGGCTACCTTTAAGTCTGCTATTGAGTGTCCAGGGAGGTTGAAGTGTTCTCCTACAGGTTTTTGTATATTGCCATTCCTAATATCTGATTTGTGTCCATTTATCCTTTTACGTAGAGATTGTCCAGTTTGGTCGATATAGATAGCAGAGGGGCATTGCTGGCACATGATGGTGTATATTACATTGGTGGACGTGCAAGTGAATGAACCAGTGATGTTGTGGCTGATCTGGCTAGGTCCTGTGATGGTGTCGCTGGTGTAAATATGTGGGCAGAGTTGGCATCAAGGTTTGTTGTATGGATTGGTTCCTGAGTTACTATGGTGTGGTGTGTGGCTGCTGGTGAGAATATGCTTAAGGTTGGCCCAGGGTTGTCTGTGGACGAGAACTGGCCTAAAGTAGAAGTAGAAACAACAAGGAGTCCTTGTGGCATCTTAGAGACTAACAAATTTATTTGGGCATAAACTTTTGTGGGCTAAAACCCACTTCATCAGACGCATCTGATGAAGTGGGTTTTAGCCCACGAAAGCTTATGCCCAAATAAATTTCTTAGTCTCTAAGGTGCCACAAGGACTCCTTGTTGTTTTTGCTGATACAGACTAACACGGTTACCACTCTGAAAAGTATAAAGTAGCAAAGTCAGAAAAACTGAAGCTCAAGGGGGGGAGGGGGAAATGAGGAAAAGCTGTGGTTCGCTCTTCCTTTAAGATCTTTCTTGGGAACATCAGCAGGAATCTCCAGTCAACAAGGTACAGATGTTAGAACGTGAGGCCAAGACTTTCAAAACACAGAGACAAGCTGAGTAATCAACAACTCCTATGAACTTCAGTGGGAAATATTGGGATCTCAGTACCGGTGAACATCAGGCCATTTAGTAAGGGACCTCAACAGTGAGTTAGGAGCCTAAACTTAAAACAATCTATTTTTGAAAATCTGAGCTTGAGGAGTTGAAAGAGCTAGGATTGTATGAAAGCTATAGAATGCTTACAGTGTTCTATATGTACTTCAGGATATTCTGTGATTATTAGTAGCACGTGAACTTGGCTGCAAAGTGGAGATATTTACAGTTTTGATTTGTCATTCAGTAATAGGACGGTAAATATATGGACGAGACATGCAAATTGGTGATTCACATTTTAAAAAAATATGCAGCTATATACTCAGTCTGTTTGGAAACTATCAGTTGAGACTCCATCTACTCTACACTTATACTGAATTCTCAAAACCTTCATTTGTCTTCACCAAACCTCTTGCTGATCTCCAAACATGGCAGATGCTGAAAATTCATACAATTCAATAATTTCTGGCACCTGAGGCAATATACTAGCCAATTCTAGAGATTATGGCAAAGCTACAAACCAGCGTGCAGCAAACAATAGGCAATAGAAAGTGAGAGATCTTAGATAAGATTATTACATCCACGCAGAACTAAAGTTTCACCTACAAAAGCATAATTGCAAAATTCACACAATGGATCCCTTGTAATGTTGAAGGGTGCAGTTTGGGACATATTATTCATGCTCATTCAAATCAAACCTCTGCACTGATCATTAATTGAGGGATAAGGAAAGAAATCCAGGGCAGATACGGTGCAGAAAAACTTGCCGTCTTGAGAATGATTTAGGCTTGAATAAAGTTACTGTACCCAAATAAGGTTAGGTTGCGAACACCATCTCTAAATTAAAGGAGTTTAAACTATATTTGTATGTTAGAAAGAGATTATATGCTCTTGTCATTTGTTTATGGTCTATTTTCGCCATCTGGTGGTGAAGAGGTATAAGCAGAAAACCAGAAACCACTTATCAGATTTTACTCCAAGACTCCATCAACATCTGAGCTCATTTTGGAGTGAGGGACCTGTGTGTAACAACAGTGGTAAAAATGAAAGTCTTTTCTGATTTCCAAAGAGGTACTAGAAACCATTAGTGTTTACCTGGAAAGTTAAGATATAAGTTGGTTTTCACTATCCAGAATATGTACTAAATAGTGTTGCCAGGAGGTCAGCATTTGCTACAAAGCAGTACAGGAAAATGAGTTATAACAGAAAATAACTGGAGTAACTTTTGGGTATCTGGTGGCAAATGTTGGCTTTTTAATGGCTACCACTTTAGATGACTTTCATATATAGACAAGGTGACAGGCCAACTAATATTCCTACAAAGAAAATTTGAGATTTTCTCACTTCCATGAATCGAGATACATTCTTCTCTTCTCCAAGGATACAAGCTTTTCTTCCTTGTTTCTAAACAAAGCTATCTTCCCTTATGCCGGACATTGATCAGGAAATAGAGGTTATAGCATCATAAGCCTACAGTCTCATCCAAATGAAAAATACAATCCACAATGGAAAGGGCTGTTTTAGTTATACCTGCTGTCACCAATAAAGTTTTGATTTGCAAATACAATGGCCGTACTGTATGCCTGCTTCCCTAGTCACATCAATAGGAGGCTTCTGGTAATTCATACTCTATAAAGTAAATCAAGCAGGATCTTGAGTAAGTGTGATGTAACTCCACAACATTTATTGGAAAGGACATCACACTCGCTTTTACTGGTAATTCAAAATAATGACATCAAAATTGCCCACTGGTTGGGCACAGTTCTTGTTTTATAGCCTCATTATTTATCATGGTTTTCCTATGATAATTTAACACATGAGAAATTGTTCCTTAGAGATAACTTTCATTTGTGAAATAAACCACTTCGTTTGGCCCCCGGGATAAAGACAGCATTCAGGATATTTGGTATCAGATCTCATCTTGAGAAACTTGCTCTTCAGACTTGGAGAAAGAAAATGTATCGAAGAGATGAAGAGTTCAGCCTTCTGAGAAATGGTTCAGATGCTATTCTGATAGGAGCTACTTAAGAATCAAGATACCTAGAAGTGCACAGCTCTTAAACATCCTCTAAAGCCTACTACACCAATCTTCAGTATTCAGTCTCAGGATAGAGCACTGCATGCAATACCTTCCATCTATGCTTAATTTCGACTTTCTTTAGTAGCAGAAATGCCTTGTATCATCTGTTCACTTGCCAATCAAATACCAGGGCTTGAGTCAACCCTTCCTAATTAGGGGCAAAACTGTACTCTTGCCTATACTTACTGAGGATTGACACTCCTGGCCATCTTCCTCATAGTCAGGGTTTACCTGATGAAACACAATCACAGGCAAGTCAACAGTTTAGTTTTCCACCCCCCCCACCTCCCCCGGTATAAAATTCCTCGGGGAGATCTAGCTTATTCTGTAGCAGATGCACCTTTTTCTACAGAAGTACACAATGTTGGGGTCTTCAGTCTAGCAGACAAAAGTACAACAAGATCCAATGGCTGGAAGTTGAAGGTAGACAAATTCAGACTGCAGATAAGGCAGACATTTTTAACAGTGAAGGTAATTAACCACTGGACCAATTTATTAAAGGTTACGGTGGACTGTCCAATCACTGGCAATTTTTTAACCAAGATTGGATGTTTTTCTAGGAATGATTTTCGGGAAGTTCTGTAGCCTGTGCTTTACAGGAGATCAGACTAGATTACTACAGGCCTCGGAGTCTATAAACACATATACAATGCAATCAACTTTTAAAAAACAAAAACAAACAGACAAAAACAAACCAGATAGTTGTGTAGCCAGGAACAGAATTAAGCAATCAGCAAACTTGCAAAAGAGACTCAACTAGGATATAACTAAAGCTAGGAAGGAAGGAAGGAAATTTTGTGAAAATTGTATCAAGCTTTTAAATTTTGAAATCACAATTAAATTTCAAAACATTTCAACCAGCTTTAGAAGTCGCTACAAGTTGGGAAAAATCTTGATCATGTCATCATTTGAAATGTTCCTTTGATAAAAACTATTTTTGCCATAATATGCACAAATTCACCAATTTCTCCCATTGTACCTTTGCATGAGTGCGTCTCCATGTTTTCACAGCTGATTAACCAGCCCATGATTTGCTAAGCAACCTCTATAATCCGCCGGTCCTGTTGATCCATTTTGTACTTGGCAAAATGCTACTAAGTGTTTTGGAATCTGCTTACTAGAAAAGCATAAAGCAGGATTATTTCAATTGAACTCTTGCATTCACCATGATGGGCTATATTTGCCTTTCTTCACTCCAACCTCCCTTGCATAACCCCAGCATCTTATTTTTACAAATATGCTTGTCTTCATTTACACATGTGTTTCAAGAAACACAGAGTCAAGCTAGTTTCAGTGAGTATTCACAGGTATTAACAGTTCACCTTCCAAAATGCTTGGATAGGTAAATGTTCATGACAATTCCTAGAAGGCTTCTTTAACTCTTAACTTCTCTTTTATGAACAATTCTATGTTCTCTTTGGAAATCAAAAAATCCAGATGATCCAACAATGGGTTTAATTTATTCCCCCAAAAATGTAGCAACAGGTTCTCCAGCCATTCACAGTACAATTCACTCTCCCACTAATGAGCTCATCTTGATTTTAATTGTTTACATAAAATCGTGTCATTTATTGTCTATTCTTTTTAACAAAAAGAAGTCACCACCTATCTCCAACAAAAAGGCTAGGGACACATGGTCATTCTTGTAGTGCAATGTTTTTTCCAAGCATGTTTCAAGAAAATATCTTGTTTCATGGGTCTGGCACTTTGATACTACCTACTCTTGCATAATTTCATCCTTAGTAAGACTAATCCTACATAGCAATCGTTCATTAATCTGTTTTCAATCCTCAGTTAGTAGTCAACCACAGTTTTTTGGGAAGGGATAAAGGAAGACAGCATCAGAGGAGAAGAGGCAGAGTTTATGGGTCCTCCCCATGGTACTTACCTCTGCTGCTAAGTAGTGTCCAGTAGCAAGATGTTTGAACCGGAAAAGGCTATTCCAATATCCTGCACCACCTCGACAAGGGTCATGTTGCACCACCTAGAGAGAGAGAGAGGGGCCATATTCTGAATTCCAGTGGCTTGCCCCTCAGGTTAGTACTGTTGTATTTCACTTTCAGTCATGTAAGAACACAAGAACGGCCATACTGGGTCAGACCAAAGGTTCATCTAGCCTAGTATCCTGTCTTCCAACATCAGAGGGGTAGCCGTGTTAGTCTGAGTCTGTAAAAAGCAATAGAGGGTCCTGTGGCACCTTTAAGACTAACAGAAGTATAGGGAGCATAAGCTTTCGTGGGTAAGAACCTCACTTCTTCAGATG